CCACCTCATAAACGGGTATGGGGCGGAAATGGAGGAGAATAATTCCGACGGTTGATGGATCAATGGTGCATGGAGCTGGCAGCGCTTGCATCTTTGGGCGAACTTAACACAATCTGTGATCATAGTGGGCCAAAAATACCCCATTCTTTTAATTTTAAAAGCCATAGCTCTTCCTAATGAATGACTCCCACATAATCCTTCGTGCACCTCGCTCATGACGATTTCGACTTCGGGCCCAAAAATGCATAATAGGTAAGGGTCACTGACACCTCGTCTATACAACGCATCCTTTGACAGACAAAATTTCGCGCTAACGACTTTCATTTTCCTGGCCTGCCATTTATTCTTTGGGAGCTCACCTGTCATGATGTAGTGCTTTATTGGCTCCCTCCAGTCAGCCCCCCAGTCTTTAGCCGGAATTTGGTCAACTTTGTGAAATATCCGTGGCTCTGGTTCGGGATGTTCGTTTGGTTCAAGAATATTCTCCTCGATTAATGGCTCGGTTTCTAACATCGTTTCTGGAATCACTTCTTCAGCTAAGACAACGGGTTCCTTGTTAGATGTATTTGATCCCTTTGACTTCCTTCGTTTGTTTGAAGGCGGTTCGATATCTGGTTCGCCGCGGTCGCGTGCCGCTGCTCGAGATCTTGTAATGACGAGGGTCTCTTTGCTGTCTTGAATGCTTCGCTCCGAAATGCATTCCACTGGAATAACTCTCTTTAACTCGGGATCTGATGTTGACGCCAATGCGGCAAGTGCATCCGCAGTTGTATTCTCTCCCCGAGGTATGCGGATTAATTCGAATTTCGAAAAATTTTTAGATAAATCCTTCACCACTTCGAGGTACGCTTCCATTCTTGAATCTCTGGCTTCATAGTCTCCATTAAATTGGTTAACTACTAATTGCGAATCGCAATAAGCCAATATTTCCTTAGCTCCAAGTCCTTGTGCTAGTCGAAGTCCGGCAATAAGGGCTTCGTATTCTGCCTCGTTGTTGGAAGCATTGAATAACAATCGGAATGATTGTTCTAGAATTTCTGATGTTGGAGATTCCAACTTGATTCCCACTCCAGATCCTTGTTTTGTTGAAGACCCGTCTACGTGTAATTTCCAAATTTGGTTCTCCGGTTGCTCTATCGTTCCAGGTATTGGTAGTTCGGTCAGGAAGTCTGCTAAGACCTGAGCCTTCATACTGATTCGGCTTTTGAACTCTATGTCGTACTCGCTTAATTCCACCGCCCATTTCGCCAAACGTCCGGACTGACTTGGACTATGAAGTATTGTTCGGAGTGGTTGGTTAGTCAATACTTCAACCGGATGGGACTGAAAATATGGACGCAGCTTCCGAGCCGAAGTTACCACCGCGAGTGCAAGCTTTTCCATCATTGTGTACCTGGTTTCCGGATCCGTCATTGACTTGCTCACGTAGTAAATTGGCTTCTGCTCTCCACGGTCTTCCCGAACCAAGACTCCACTAACCGCGTGGTTTGAAACTGATACGTACAAATAAAGTTTTTCGTCCACTTCCGGTTTGGACAGTATAGGCGGAGTGGTTAAGTATGCCTTAAGCTGCCCAAAAGCTTCTTCACACTTCTCATCCCAAAGGAATCCTTTGTTCCCTTTTAGAATTTGGTAGAAAGGCAACGACTTATCTGTTGACCTCGAGATAAAACGATTCAAAGCCGCAATCCGCCCAGTCAATCGTTGTACTTCTTTGAAGTTTCTTGGAGATGGCATGTTTAGAAAGGCGTTAATTTGATTTGGATTGGCTTCAATCCCTCTTTCTGTCACGATATAGCCAAGAAATTCTCCGGATGGGACTCCAAATGTGCACTTCGCCGGGTTCAGCTTCATTTGATATTTATTGAGAATATCAAAACATTCCTCCAAATGTTTAACATGATCTTCTTTCTTCAACGATTTAACCAACATATCATCTATGTAGACTTCCATAGTCTTCCCGAGGTGATTGTGAAACATTTTGTTCACCAACCGTTGGTAAGTTGCTCCTGCATTTTTCAAACTAAAAGGCATTACCTTGTAACAGTAGATACCTCTATCTGTGATAAATGATGTCTTTTCTTGATCTTCGGGGTTCATCATTATCTGATTATAACCCGAGAAGGCGTCCATGAACGTTAACAGCTCATTTCCAGCGGTGGACTCCACAAGTCGATCTATATGCGGGAGCGGGAAACTATCTTTGGGACATGCTTTATTCAAGTCTGTAAAATCGATGCAAACCCTATCTTTCCCATTCTTTTTCTTGACAACGACAGTGTTTGCTATCCATTCCGGGTATTGCACTTCTCTTATGGATCCTATCTTCAAAAGTTTATCTACTTCGTCATTTACTATTCTGGCTCGCTCCACTCCGAGTTTTCTTCTTTTTTGTTTCACCGGTTTGAAGCTTGGATCTACGTTTAGTTCATGACAAATTACACTCGGATTTATGCCAGGCATGTCCGCTGCTGACCATGCAAATGATGCTTTGTTTTTCCTTAAGAGTTCGATCAAAGCTTCTTTTATTTGACCAGTCAAAGTTGCTCCAATTCGAACTTTCCGATCTGGTTTGTCTTCTTCCAATACCACTTCGACTACCACATCCTCTTTTTCCTGCCCACTAGGAAATTTTTGCCTTAGTCCTTCTTTTGCGGGCTTTGTTAATTGCTATTGGATCTTCAAACGGTGGCTAGCTAAGTAACACGTTCGTGAAGCTTCTTGATCTCCCCGAATTGTTTCCAACCCATTTGATGTTGGAAATTTGATACATTGATGATATGTAGAGGGGACTGCTTTCATTCGGTAAATCCAGGGAGTCCCGAGGATAATGTTGTAAGCTGCGGGCTTATCGAAGACAACGAAGTCCACGATCTTCGATACCTTCTTGGCAAGGACCGGTAGCTTGATTGTTCCGAGAGACATGGCTGACTCGCTTGTGAACGCAACTAACGGAGATGGGGGTCCTACTATGTCTCCTCGGCTGATTCCCATTTTTTCTAGAGTACTTAAAAAAATCAAGTCGACCGAACTGCCTGTATCTATAAGGATCCTTGACACTTCGAAGTTAGCGACATCAAGAGTAATGACTAGAGCATCATCATGCGGTCTTTCGAGATGCCGCGTTTCTTCTTCGTTAAATGATATTGAGGCACCTTGAAAATCAATTTCTTCGCTCAAGCTTGCTTTGAGTAAGATATTTCGTCTATGCTTTTTGATGGAACTTATTGAATCTCCGCAAAATCTGGAACCTCCTAGAATCACATTGATCTTACCCTTCGATCTTCTTTGTTCTTCCTCGTTGGATAACCTTGGTCTTTTGGAATCTTGATCTTTGGAGTTTTCCTTTGCTTCGTGGTATTCCTTCACAAAATCTTTTATATCGAATTTAGAAAGATCACCGCTAGCCCAAAGTTCTGCGAGATGCTTTTTAAGAACGCTGCAATCCTTGGTTAAATGTCCGGTTACTTTATGAATGTCGCAATATAGACTTTCATCACGGACCCAAGTGTTTGATCTTCCTTTCCCTTGGAATTGCTTCCCGACGGTATTGTTGAAGGGTTGCGACCCAAACATCTTTGGTCCCTTGCTCTCCCTAGGCTCGAACTTCCTGGTAGGGACGGTGATTGCGGACTTTTCTTGTTTATTCCTTTTGGCAAAACTTTCTTTTTCGTCCTCTACCTCCATCCAGTTGTTCGCGCGGAAGAGTGCATCCTGAATTGTGTCTGGTTTATGAAGTATTAAGTCTTCTTTAAACCTTGAATCATGTCGCAATCCTTTTCGTAAGGCAGATAAAGCTGATTGCTGTGAGATTCTTGGGAGTTTTGACAGCACTCCTTTGAATTTGGTGATGAAAACTCGAAGTGACTCATTAGATCCTTGCGTTAAGTTCCAAAGATCGGCATCCGAAACGCTTTTATCATAAGGATGGAGTATTGCTTTAAGAATACGGCTGATAATTCGTCGAAATTGCTGATCGAACCCGGCTCTAATTGGGTGAACCACATTAGAGCTTGGCCACATAGATTCTCCGAAAACAGCTTGCAATAGCCTGCGTCTTCATCAGCTTCATCCAATTCGACTCTTCCTGCAGCGATCAGAAAAGCTGCGAGATAGCTTTTTGGATCCTCCAATCCGCTGTAAGGATCCAATTTGAGTTTCCGGGAATCTTTGATCCTCAAACTCGCAATTCGCGAGATGAAAGGTGTTCGCCTAGCTTCTTCAATGACTCGATTGATGTCTGGCTCTGAACTTGTAGCTTGATGAAATTTTGATTTCATTTCTTTTAATTCCTGGCTAACCTTCCTCATGGTCTCGAACTGGTCGAGGTTCTCCTGCTCATACTGAGCTGCAAGTTGTTCTTCATCCCCGAGTTGCGTCTCTTCCTCCAACGTCTGAGCTACATTATTAGTAGCACCGGGGGTTGTTTGTCCGCTGGTTTCATTTCGTGCAGCGGAACTTGGCGAGTTGAATATCCCTCTTCGGATTCCCACCGGGTTTCCTGCACTTAAAGAGCGAACACGAGTTTGTATAGTATTGACGTTTTGACTAAGAGATACCTGGGATGTTTGCAACGTATCGACGGCCTTTTCCACATCCGAGAACTTTTGTGATATGTCCGACATGGTTTGCTGCATAGCTTTGAGGGTTTCAGCCAATGATGTCTCAACGGCGTCTCCTCCGGACATTGTTGCTTATCTCGGAAATGTGATAAAGGAAAAATCTGACCACTCAAGAATCCTAATCTATCCCCACAGACGGCGCCAAAATGTGGATGTCGGATTCACACACTCAAGTATTTTATTAAGTGGGAAAGATTATTCTTGAGGGACAAAAATGAATGTGTAAAAGCTTGTGAATTGTTACAAAAATTGCTATAATATTTCTTTCTTGAGAGGAAGATCCCTTTACATGGTCATTGGCCTTTATATTTATACATAGAGAATTGACATTAAAATGAATAATTAAGTACAATTATTCCCTCTTAAATGTGTCCGTTTTGATTCTTTGACTTTAATGCTCAACGTTTGAATTTGAGTTGACTCTGATCTTCATGGGCCTCGCCTTTCTGGCCCAAGCGTCCCCAAACCGACTTGCCCGCTTCTTTCACACCGAACTCGTGTCTCAGTGCAGCCACTTCGAATTCTCGAGGTGGTGACAACCACCTCGACCGTTCCTTCGGCTCATGGGTCCAATGGGCTTTATCCCTTATGGGCCATTATCTTGACTACGTGGCAATCTTTGGTTGGTCTCGGACTTCTGGTGCGGGATCCGACACCAACAATGACTTGCAGCCCATTATGCACACTTTACATTAAATTGTTTTCTATATATAGATATACACATACAAATTCTCCGGTTAACGTAAGAATACTGATCATTTATCATATTTTCTAGACCTAACTATGTTCTCGCTCCGTACCCTTCTTGTTATACTTCTCTTTGCTTTGATAGCAATTGTTGGATCCATCAACGGTATTACTCTTATCACTTTGATACATCTACCAAACAATATATGCATTTGTACCCTATAATATGTGGCATAGAACTGAAAATGAGTTCACTTGATTAAAAATTAACTTACGTTCACAAATTAGGGGAACCGGGGTGTGGTGGTTCATCTCCCACCTGGGAAGACTTGCACGACGAACAAGCGCAACGAAATTTGGACAATGCAGACAAGTTTGGTAGGATCACTCTTGATTGTGAAACTACTGGTGGTGGAGGCAACGGTGCAAACAACGGTTTCGTGACGATTATAGACCTATCCTTTGGTCTCTTCTTTTTTATTTTTGTCGCCATTGGAATCTGGTTTTTCTGCGTCCGAAGACAAAAGGCCATCAACGCAGCTATTGTTAACTCCTCTCCAGGTAATATGATACAACGTTACAATTCCAATTTCCAACCAAACAAATAATTTCAATCACTCTTTTAATTACTCGTAAACCGGCTGGATTGCGGGGTTTTGTCAGATCATTGACTTTGTATTTGGGCCTGATGATTACATAATTGGGCCGAATTATTGGTCGGACTCGGATCTGTCCGGAAAATTTAAACACTAATTCTACACGAGTTAGAACATGCAACGGACGACGTGTGGTCATAAATAGTTTAATATCGTAGTGGTTATCGAGATTAATTAGGATAACTAAAGTCTAAAGAATATATTAAAAATATGAAGAGTGTATGTAATTATTTTTGTCGTCCAATCATTTTTTATTTATTGAAATAGTCTGAAGAGTGTATAAAATTTAATAGGACAAGTGGGAGCTAAAGGGAAGGGCTATGGAATGGATGAGAAGACGAAAACAGTTGCCATGACCATGGGTGCTCCAGCAGGAAAGCTTTCAAATGGTGACACCAATGTTTGATACCAAAAAGAAAAAGAAATGTTTGATACAAATATACAATAATTGAACTCGTTCGATCTGATAATCTTTCTCTTGATTTCTTTCTTTATTTTTTGTTTTGCTATAGATGATATGATGATCGTCTCTGCTGTTGTCGTCCTTACATTACACATAGTTTCAAAAGCTTGTGTAACTAAATACTTTATTATCTTTAATTTTTTTTTAATTAGAACTTATCCAATAATTGAAATAATGGGGGATTTTAAATTATTACGTGTTAGTTATAAATAATTTTATATCCAGTAACAGAAGATTTTGATATTTGTTTTTAAGAATTCCACAACCACATCCAAGAAGTTAGATTTTAGAAAGAAGATTGATAGGTGTCAATTTAGTCTACTTCTTTTAACTAAATATGTACATATATAAAGTTTCACATGCATTTCAAAAACTTCTTTAAACATTACACTAAAATGTAAGTAGATTATATATTCAATAACATCAGATTTGAGAAGATAACTAAAAAAGAAGAAGAAGAAGAAGATAACTATTAATCATCAATTGAATAAAAAAAGATTTTTTAAAAAGATCAAACTCATCAAAAATCTTAATCCAATACACCTTTAAATACAACAATCAATTTAATCAGGAATCGAATACTATTATATATCTCCTCTCCGATAAGACTACAGGACCTTAATGACCTAAACTTATTGGTATTGTCAAACTCTTAAAAAAATAGTTTGTGTAAATTATTAGATTTGTTTTTGCATTATTGTTGTAGAAATTGAAAGTTCGTTTTTTTTTTTTTTTTACTGGAAATCTGTTACTAGCTACTTGAAGTATTAAAAAAAAAAAAAAAAAATCCTTACATTTTAAAATTAGAGGAGTTTTTCTAGTCAAACGAGACAGCCTAAAGCTATAATAATCAAGAAAAAAAAAAAAGACAGCCTACCGATCGGTCCACAAAGCACATCCAACAACTATTCGAGTTATCCAATTATCAGTTGGTAATAAAAAAGGTGAGCAGACGCAAATATGCAAATAGAGAAATTACTATACATAGTAGAGTATTATCTCATGTTTATTCGTATATTTTCCATATAGACAAAACACAAGGCAGACGACTTCAATGGCTTCTAATCTTGTACTCATCGTCCTCCTCGTATTTGTGTCTCTCTCTTTAACTTGTGGATATTCTCCTCGTACTTTGAGAGATGCTGTCTCAAAGTAAGAACATCTCTAAATCCTTCTTTATTTGTTTTCACTTGTTTTTCATATTGCTGCAACTGAATACAAACATATTGTTCTTCTGCTTTCTCTCTGTTTTAGACAAGACGATGATTCATATGTCATGGCTACGAGTGATCAAGAATCATCGATGGTCGTTGTTGAAGATATAGTAAAAGGTCGTCTTCTAGCCAGAACGGTTGTGAACAAATCAGCTTCAAAGAGCCCTCCAAGCAAAAGTAAAACAAAAGGTTTCCTAAACTAAAGGAAAATTGCTTAATTTAATTTTATTATGTTTCGACCAGATATTCTTTTTAGTACATTAGTTTTGATACAGTATACAAACTTAATTAAATTGCAGGTTCGAAGAAGAAAGAAAAGAGTAAGAAAATAGGAGCACTGGATCGATGCTGATAGCTTCATGTTATTCTGTTTCGATCATATATATTCTTTTAAGTACATTAATTTTGATATAATAAACAAACTTGATAAAATTGCAGGTTTGACAAAGAAACATAAGAGCTTTAAAATAGGACCATTGAATGTTGCACTTGGAGTCTTTATCGGAATCATCATCGCAGCAGTTGTGGTTTTCATTGCGATCGTCGGTGTTATATGTTTTTTTATAGTTTTATGTATCAGACACAAAACAAAAAAAAGTACTGAAGAAGGTAACTTACTACATTCACAATAGATTAGTTAAGTTATTAATAAATAACCTGCTAATACATTTTTGTTGTTGTATAAAGGTAGTGCTACTGAAAAAACTAATGGGTCATTGGAAAACCAGACTTCTAAAGCAGAGGATCATGTCTAAACATATCATCGCTATCAATACCTCGTTGGGAGCTCAAAGATTTATTTTGTGTGAATTTTTTATTAGTTAATCACTTAATTCTGTGTTATGGCTTTGAATTTGCGATGTGTACATATTGAATTACTGCTCATTTACGAATCTTGAATTGTAAATTCTATTTATGGCTTTGAATTTGCGATGTGTACATATATTGAATTACTGCTCTTTTACGAATCTTGAATTGTAAGGACAGTATCAAACTCAATAATAAAATTTGATTAACAAATTTCAAAACTTGGTTTGGTGATGAGTTTGATTACAATGAAATTGATTTTTTTTTTCTTTTTTTTTTTGACATTGGAATATCTGTCGATATAAAAAAACAAGAAAAAAAAAGATGTAGAAGATCATTTTTATTTGAAGATAATTAAAATATTTACACTAATCTTTAAAATATTATTTACATTTATCTTTATCTTAATTAAGGAGATAAGATTTATCTTTAGTGTTATCTCTGTGTACAAACACAACAAACATATACATACTAAACTGAATATTTATCTCCGAAAATAGAATTCTTATTAGATACATTGCCCAAGAAAATAATGAATATATATTCTACACAAATTATATTCTACTTCTAATTATATAATTATTTATTGAAAATAAAGTATTTAACGTCGCAGTAGCGCCATTTGTTGCATGGGCCTATCTAATCTAACTAAGATACGAAATTTGGATTTGTGGTTGAAAATAGGTCAACACGATAAATAAAAAAAAGTCAAAATTTGTATGTCATGTGGTGGTCTTTGGCTCTTTGGCATGGCTGACAAAATCGATACCAAGTTCGTCTGGCTTCCGAGTTCCGTCCCAAGTAGGACGGTCCAAGCAAATCTCGAGAAAAACGGTTAGTACTACAAAAGAACGCAACTTTGTTTCGAAATTTCGATCCTTGGAGTTTCAAGATTGTTTTTTTTTTTTTTTTGGTTTCATCCTTTGGGTCCATAGCGTTGACAGGTCCTGCTTCGTTTGGCTGTAGATTACAAATCTGATTGCTTTAGGGTTTTGTCTTTTTGCCGATTTTGGGGATGGTTGATCTTTCAATTGAATCCTCAATCTGATTGCTGACATTAGAATGTTCATTCCAGTTTTGTCTTAATTCCCATCTAGTTGGTGAAAGGGTTTAGATTTTGCTTGAAATTTATGCTTCAGATGCGTTGAAGTTGTACTGTTTATAATTCTGTGTTGTACTCGGATTCAAAGTTGTTGCCTTTACATGTCATATATCTGTTTTGGCTATTTCATGCCTCACCATTGAATCCTTCGTTTCAGGCCAATCAACCATTTACGGGAGCTATCTTTCAGGCCTGAGTTCACTTAAAGGGTCCCTGCTTGGTTTGCTTATGAGACTGACTATTGTTTGTGGAGTTGAATAATATCTGCAAATGTCAAGTCTTCTTAATGTACTGCCACATATCCTTTATATCAATGTGTTGCAGTATTACCAATCTAGCTTCTAGGATTTATTCATGTCTATCATTCCTCTGACTAGTGGTAGTTCCAGTCCTCAAATTTATCAGACTGTTCAGGGAGAACGTTTATTTTTAGAAAATAATGCAAAAATGACCCCTTTCTTTGGCTCTCCCTCTCAATTTTCATTTTTGATTCTCATTTGCAGATATATCACTGTAGCTCTCTTGGATACTCAGGACTCTCTAGTAGGGGAGGTATAACTGTTGGAAACTGTAGATGGGTCTGGCACAGCGGTGGAGTCAGGTTGTCGTTTCCAAGAGCTGAGTCTTCATCCATGAGTATAAACATTGCAATGGGTTGTACGTTTCAGCATGGGAGAGCAAAAAGCTTAAGTCAGGAAAACGTAGTGGAGTTATCTGATGAAAACGATGATCTATGTCCTGTGGAGTGTGTCACTGAGTTCAAGACCGATGATGAATTGCTTAGAGTCCTTGAAAAGTCGAAAGAAACTAATTCTCTGGTCGTGGTTGATTTTTATCGCACTGCTTGTGGGAGTTGTAAATACATAGAGCAGGGCTTCTCAAAACTGTGCAAGCAATCTGGTGACCAAGAAGCTCCTGTTATCTTCCTTAAGCATAATGTGAGTATTTGATTTCTCATCTTCGATTCAAACAAGCGAGAAGTAGTGAAAAAGTCCATTAATAGCTCAAATGCTATTTGCAGGTGGTAGATGAATATGATGAACAATCTGAAGTCGCAGAAAGGCTCCGTATCAAGGTAATCCCTCTTTAGAATTTTGGTCGCTAACAACACTAAAAAACCGAATCGTGAGTTTGATATACTACAATCTTACAGGCGGTTCCTCTCTTCCACTTCTACAAAAACGGAGTTCTCTTAGAATCATTTGCGACTAGAGACAAGGAGAGGATCGACGCTGCTATTCTCAAATATACATCCTCGGAATCTTGAAGCACATTAGATATATTAAACCGCATTCTTTCGGTTATCTTTACCAAATCATTGAAAATGATGTAACTATATTGAACAACAAAGCATCCTTCTTCTTGTAAGATGTCATACTGAATAAGACAGATGCAACATTTTGATCTCTTTTCTATTTTTGTTTGCCTTTATGTCTTCATAACCCACATATTCATGTGCAAAATCTGCAGTGATAGCTTTCGTACTTAGCTTACTACTTTGGTTACTTGATAAGTATCTTTTGGTCCCAAGATCTTGAAACTAGATTGCAACTTGTCTCATATGGTATGATAATCAAATCCTATTTGACAAAGAGATGTACCAAACTGAGGAGGATCAAGTTTTAGTGAAAAAAATTAAATTGTATACTGTATTTTTTTTATATTTTAACTAGATGTTAACCCGCGGTACACCGCGGGTCTATATTTTTATTAGAAAAATTTATTAAATTTTGTTTTAAGATACTCTATAGATATATACTATTTTTTTGTTTAATTTAAATGTATAATACACCGTGAGACGAAATTTTATTACAAAAATTGAAATTTTATAGATAGACGTAGTATAAAAACAATAGATTCAATTGTATGATTTTGAATAAGATGCTGATTTAACCCGTCTTATACTAATTTTACCCGCGGTATACCGTATGCTAAATTTTAAATAATAAAATGAGGATTTAATATGTGTTATAGCGATATATTAGTGATATTTTAAATTTATATTAATATCAATCCTAACCAAACCTGTGTCATACAATTCGTCCCGTAATATTTAAGACTATTTTATAAAAACTCAAAAACCATAGCTAAATGGGCAAACAAAAGCCAAAAAATTTAAATATATCAATTAGAAATTTTTGAATTAGAAATTTTTGAATTTAATTAGAAAAGATTGCTCCATAATTTTAAATCTTATGTATTTAATGTATTTATGAAGATTTGATATTTGAATTTATTTGAGAACATTACTTATTTTTAGCAATTTCAGAAAAAAGACATGGGTTAAAGCTTGAACTGATCCGATAATTAAGGTCTGAATTAATAGTTTTGCACCGGCCTTGTTATTTTATTTGTATTTTCTAATTATTTTATCACTATTCAAACCTTAATGATCCATGTAATTAACACTAACCTATTATTGTTATATAATCACAAATATTAAAAATAATATGTTTAGAACTGCCATGAAAAAAAAATTAAGTATGCAACTTTCATTAGTTCACATAATGAAAAAATAAACACATAGAGTATTAGAACCCAATAACAAAGAATCATGTCTACCAATTTTGTAAAGACCTACAGAGCCCAAATTGTTTTTATTCAACTCTCTCATATACCCAAAATGAAAAACTTAGAAACGGAAAGTTCAAACTCCGTCGTTAACGGTCACAGTAACGGCTCCGTCGATCTGAGCCTTGTTTCTTCAAAGCTACAGCAAAACGCATGGATCTACTCTCCGTGTAGCGTATCAAGGAGTTCTCGGCGTGTATTTTGAAGCTACCACCGGAAAAGCATATCCGAAATCTGAAGATATTCGGTGTGATCAATTCGATGTTGCGTTTCAGGCGGTGGAGCTTTGGATCGCCGATCGTCTTGTTTTGCCAATCGAAACCTAAAGAATTACGATCTCCTCCTCGTCACCATCTTCACATCGTCGGCGAGGTTTAGATCCCGGTTCACCACTGTCTCCTAGCTCTTCCCGGAGTCCGTACAGATTGCATCACGTCTGCGATTTCACATTTTCTGTAAAACTGGTGAGTTTTTATTAGACTAATGAAAGGTATTTATATTGTTTTGAGAATACTATAGGGTTTTGGGTGAGTGAGTTCCTAAAATCTTGCTGATCAAGTAACAATATCTTCAAAATCTTTTATTTTTGGAATTGAGTAATTTTCTTGCAAATCTCGAAAAAAAAAAGAAATATAGGAAAGATAATTATGAGTAATTAGTTGGGATGACAGCCAATGGTAGAGATTTTTGGCAACAATTTTTGAACGTAACATCTTTGATTTAGGAGAGATTTTTGGAATATGCTTATACCGAAATATATGTGTAATTATCTACATTAATGACGGTTTTTTTTAGATTTCCTTAAATGTCTTATCCAAGATACGGATATAATAAAACCGAGTAAAACCCGGATCCAAATTATTAAAAGCAAAAAACCCCTGCAAAAATATATATATAGATTGTTATTTTGATTTTAAATTTATTGCAATTTAAATGGGCAATTGCCTATATTTAATCTGTTATTGTAAAAGAAAAATGACATAGCTTATTATTAAAATATTAAACAAATTTATTAACATAATATATATATATATATATATATACTGTTAAAAAAATAAATACGTTTTTTCTTTATAATTTCATAATATATGTATATATTGTTAAAATCTGGACATTTATTATGAGCATAAATATGAAAACGATTTTCCATTAAAATCGGCTATTTATTAGGGTCATTAATATGAAAGATATTAAGACAACATGGCTTCATTTATTAGTTTGAAATTAAGACAACATCCCTTAAATTGCTAATCCAAGATCCGAATAGACTAAAACCCGGGTCAAACCCGGATCCAAAAGAATTAAAGCAAAAAAGTACTATAAAAATGTATATGTAGATTATAGTTTTTAACATTGACTATAGTTATTTAACCTAATTCCTAGTTACTATAATTATTGACAATTTACCTTAAACCTAATTCCTAGTTACTATAATTATTGATAGTTTACCTTATAAACATATTTAATTACTAATAAACCCTGAAATTAATGTAGAGAAAAAAAGGTCCCTTTAATTTGTTCGCCTCCGAGGACGGGTCCAAAACATATTCGACTAAAACGGTCAGTTCTACAAAAAGATCAGATTTTTCTCTCCGAATTCTTCTCCACCTTGGAGAATTTCGATCCTTGGAGCTTCAAGATTGAGTTTCTTTGTTCATCCTTTGAGTCCATATTCTTATCAGGTTCTTATTCGTTTGACTGCAGACAGGATAATAAATCTGAATGCTTTAGGGTTTTTGTTTATTTTGGGGCATCCTTCTTTGCCGATTTCGCAATGGTTAATCTTTCTCTTGAACCCTTAATCTGGTTACTGGCATTAGACTGTTCAATCCAGTTCTTGAAAGGGTTTTGATTGTTTGTAGTGTATATGATTCAGATGCGTCGAAGTTTTACTCTTTATAGTTCTGTGATGTATTCAAAGTTTATCCCTTTCCATGTATTTACTTGTCTCACCATCTAATCCTTCGTTTCAGGCTAATTAAACCATTTACGAGTGCAATCTCTCAGTCGTCCTGAGCTCACTGAAGGGTTCCTGCTTGGTTTGCTTATGAACTTTTGCTTGTGGAGTTGAATAATATCTGCAAATGTCAAGTTTACTTAATGTACTACTGCCACATTATATCAGTGTGTTGCAATATTTTCAATGTAGCTTCTAGGATATGTAATGTTTATCAATCCTTCTGACTAGTGATAGTTTCAATGATATCCTCAGTCCTCAATAAACGGGTCTACCTCGAATTTGTCAGACGGTTCAGGGAGAACGTTTACTTCTTCTTTCTCCGGTCAGTCTGGGGCAGCTTCTCCAGCTTTCCATCATGCTGGTGGGTAGACGTTTCCCGCGCTATTTCTGTCGTAATTCTTCTGAACTTATATTGGTTGTTTTCTTTTTATAGGATCTATTCAAGGCCTTCATAATATTCATGGAAACTTTAATGTTCCCAACTTGGCGGGAAGTCTTGGATCGAGAAATTCAAGTCTAAACGGTGTTCCTTCTGCTGGTGTCCAACAACAAAATGGAAGTATTTCGAATGGAAGATTTGCATCCAGTAATATTCCGGTTGCACTCTCTCAGGTGCAGTCATGCTTATGTGTTGGTATTCGAAATATAATGCAAAAATGAATCCTTGTTTTGGCTCTGCTTAAAAGTTTGCTTTTGGATTCTTATTTGCAGATATCTCACGGTAGCTCCCATGGACACTCAGGACTCACTAATAGAGGAGGTATAAATACTCTTGGAAACCTTAATTCAGTAGTAACACTAATCGGTTATGGTAGTTCTATTCCTGAATTATTCCTACCTCTACTACCATTGGTAATTGGTTTACTGTACCAGGATTGGGAGTTTCTCCAATTTTGGGAAATGCAGGTTCTCGAATGACGAGTTCTATGGGGAATATGGTTGGTGGAGGCACAATGGGTAGGACTTTGAGCTCTGGTGGAGGATTATCGATTCCGAGTCTTGGTTCACGGCTAAATCTGGCAGTAAATAGCGGATCCGGAAATATTGGACAAAATCGCATGATGGGTGGGATCTTGCCACAAGGTACTTCATGATTTATATCCTTTTCTGCTGTTTGTTGAAATAAGTCATTTGTATGGTTCTAGTTGATTTACATATCCGTTAGTAAACATGATGTCAAACCCTTTATCATTAAATAAATAACACCGGATTTCAACTAGTATTTAGAAATCATTAATCGAATAACATATGATTTTGACAAAGATTTTACAATCAATGATCCAATAACACATGATTTTGTTTGGATTTCCACACCAGTTATCCCCAGTAACCAAATAAATAACCTCATATTTTTCCAAAATTCGCGTTTCGTCTCATCGTTTATGAAAACTGTAAACTCTTATATTCTTTCCTTTCTCTTCAGGATCTCCGCAGGTTCTTTCGATGCTAGGAAATTCTTACCCTTCAGCTGGAGGACTTTCCCAAAATCATGTTCAAGCAATGAACAGTCTAAGCTCTATGGGGTTGCTGAATGATATGAACTCCAACGACACTTCTCCGTTTGATATTAATAATGATTTTCCTCAGCTCACAAGCCGCCCCACCTCTGCCGGCGGTCAAGGACAATTGGGTAAGTAATAAAAACCCTTTAATTCTATCTTCTCTCTTTTATCGGTTTGAAGCAAAACTATACTCCGCCCTTTTCTGAAACTTCTTAGGGTCTCGATTGAAACAAGGGCTTGGAATCAGCCCTATAGTTCAGCAAAACCAAGAGTTCAGCATCCAAAGTGAAGATTTTCCAGCATTGCCAGGATATAAAGGTCCTCCTTTTGATCTGCAACTTTTTCTCAATTTATGTCCTATTTGTGTGCATTATGGAATTTGACATTCACACCCCAAAAGGAACCATCCACCTTCCACATTGGCATAATATTTGGTGTTGAGAGATTAGAGAGTGATTTTCTGATCAAACCCAGCAGAATTACTAATCATCTTCATGATCCATTGTGATGTTACCATCTTTGATTCTCATCAAAAAACTAGTACAGAGTTCGCCTATTAAATTTTCCAACACGTTCATGGTGTCTGCATTTAGTTTATTTGTTGTCCGTATAAACAGATTTCGAATTAATGTATAGTCATGATAAGATTGATCGGTTTATTACAGGTAGTAATGCTGATTATCCAATGGATTTGCATCATAAAGAACAACTCCATGAGAACTCAGTTTTAATGATGCAATCTCAACAATTATCTGTGAGTATCAGCTTGTCTTAAAATGTCATTGGGTTTAGTTCTCTTCCATTGAAACTTTTCCTCAAAACATTTACCTTATCCTCTAGTGCGGCTACCTGCAGATGGGAAGGTCTGGTGGGTTTAACTTAGGTGGAGCATATGCATCACACCGTCCTCAACAACAGCAACAACATGCTCAAGTTGTGAGTAGTAGTGGTGTTTCCTTACATGGGTCTGACATCTTCTCATCTTCGCATCCGTCTTACCACTCGCAGGTACGGTTTAGTCTGTAATATTTGAAAACAGGCTGAGATCATTTGAGGTTTAATTTCATGAAACCAACATTACTGTGCTTTCTAAAGTATATTTTATTGGTTTCAGACTGGTGGACCTCCGGTTATTGGATTAAGATCTATGAATTCTGGAAATTCTGTCACTGGGATGGGTACTTATGACCAGCAGCTCATCCAGCAATATCAGCAACAACAGAACACATCCCAGTATCGCTTGCAGCAGATGTCAGCTGTTAGCCAACCTTTCAGAGATGGGGGATTAAAACCAATGCAGGCGACACAGTCAAATCCTGATCGGTTTGGCTTGCTCGGTTTGCTCAGTGTGATAAAGTTGAGCGACCCTGACTTGACGTCTTTGGCCCTTGGTATTGATCTGACAACACTGGGGTTAAATTTGAACTCAACAGAAAATCTTCATAAGACTTTTGGCTCGCCTTGGTCCAATGAACCCTCTAAAGGTGATCCAGAATTCAGTGTACCGCAGTGTTACTACGCAAAAAATCCTCCACCTCTACATGTAATTCACTCTACTCTCTAATCAGTACCATCATTCACTTGTCCGTCTGGGGTTGTGTTTTCTTATCATTACCTGTTTTTAATTATTATATTTTTTTGGTGGATGCAGCAAGGGCTCTTTGCAAAATTATTGGTAGAAACATTGTTTTACGTATTCTATAGGTATATGTCTTTGGAATTGAAACTACTTATTGTTGATTCACTCTCTTGTCAAAAGAACCATAACGATTTTTGTCGTGCAGCATGCCGAAAGATGAGGCGCAACTATATGCGGCAAATGAACTGTATGTCCTTTTCATCATAATATATTTTTTTTGTTTCTCTAGTATTGTAAAGATGAAAATACTTCTTAGGAGTTTTTAATTCACAATTTTCATTGAACTTGGAATATAAATTCAAGATGAATTTGTCTTCACATTTGAAGAAGAAAGGGAATATGCAAGATAAACATCAACTTTTGATTCCATCTTTCTTCTCCATGACTTGAAAATGGGTTTCTGTCTTAATTTCCTGGTTTGGTATCAGATTGCAATGCACTGAAGAAGAAAGCTGCATAACTCTTATTGTTTTGCAGTTACAATAGGGGTTGGTTCTACCACAAAGAACACAGGTTGTGGTTCATTAGAATCGGGGAACCTCTCGTGAAAACAAATGTGTATGAAAGAGGATCATATCACTGTTTTGATCCAAACTCATTTGAGATCGTTCAAAAGGTGAGTACATCCAAGTTCTGCTCATCGATTGTATCTTTCTTCATTTGGCCTCTGAAGAATACCCAAAAATTATCTCTTTGCAGGAAAATTTTGTTCTCTATTACGAGATGCTGGAAAAAAGACCATCCCTATCTCAAGATTCTCAACATTGAGTGTAAACTATGCCGCCTTCAGTATTATAATGTAACTTTCCTACCAAAGTATCCATTGGTTAGGAAATCCATAGAACAGGAACCAGTATCCAACATGTATCTTTCTCGGATTTTAGATTTTTGGTTTATTTAACTCCTGGCAACTTTTGTTGTTCATATATAGCTGAAATTTCTTCAAGCTATAGATTAAACAATGCATATTTCTCCCCCCCATTCAGAATCGGTGTTACAGTAATGTTACTCTCTTCCTTTCTGCTCTAATCCTTATTTGATTTCTCCTGTTCAAAGCATCTCAGGTAACTCCTCAATACCAGTGCCTCACCCGGATCAACTCATTGAATCAAGTCAGAAAAAGGTACATCAAGTTCTTGCCGTGTACATAAATGTGAAAACGGATCGAGTATCGTCAAAGTCAGATTGCGTACATTTTCTTACACTCGTTCTGGAGAATATCAGAATCCGTAAGCTGGGGAATCCCCCAGGGTCCAGATTTACTGTTGGAGGATCTTCTAATGTTTCTTAAATTGGCAGCTTCGATCTTGTGCTGTATTATCCAGTAGCACATCGTCCCTAACGTCGTGATCATTATAGTTGCCCCAATAGCAGTCACCCCAATGGCTAACCACTTCTCTTCTTCACCAACAACAACAAACGACAAAGCCAAAAAGGCAACAGAGATGAGAACACAGGCAAGCCACATGAGTTTGTTTATCACAGCCATCATCTGTTTCTTGGCCTTGCTCTCTATTACCACCACTGATGTCTGAACCACCACGACCGCTAAGGAGATGAAGAGTGCGATCGAATCAAAGATGAAGAATATTATGAACGGAGTCGTCGATGCAATATTCGCCTCCCCAAGGGAATGTCCATCTGGAATTTTACTTGTGTCTTCTACATACTGCCCCGGGACAGTGAAAATTGCTGCAAAAGCAACCGTAGCAATAAGAACAGCTACAACAGTAGTCGAGTTTATTGCATTGTTAAGACCTTCTGTGTGCATTTTGTTAAGCTGTTTGGCAATTCCTTGAACACGTTTTCTGGTCAGACGTGTGTGCTCAAGCTGGTTGTGAACCTCATGCTTGATATCGCTTACGGTTTGTTTCAGCTCCCGAGCAGGGTTAGGCCCAGATGGCTTAATGGTTTTGGCGCTGGGAACACCATGTTTCTGTAAGATAAGAGCCACTTCTGGATTCCCAATTTTCTCTGCTGTGTCAAGTGCGGTTTCGCCTGATCGGTTAACAGCTTTTGTGTCTGTCATGTTGTTGGCTAATAGCAACTTAACAATCTGAGATCTGCCTTTTCGGGCTGCAATGTGCAACGCTGTGTTTCCCTTCGTGTCGGCTATATTGATAGAAGACCTATCCGCTTTGATAAGCTCCTCCACGACCTCAACATTTGTTCCTTTAACCGCCATGTGAAGGGCTGTTTGGCCCTTCTTGTCCATCCTTATTGCGATCGCGGGTTCGGATGCCAAGAGAGCCTTAATGACTTTGACATGCCCGTTCCTTGATGCAGAGTGCAGGGCCGTCTTACCGTTGCTCTTGGCAATTCCAGCAAGGCTGCTTCCCAATTCCAACAGAAAGTTAACCACTTCAGTGTGTCCTTGTGTTGCCGCTGTGTGCAATGCTGTTGTATTCGATAGATCCACAGTCATCGCTAGCTCTGAATGAGCCTCTGCTAAAACCTTCAACACATCTGTAAAAGTCCGAAAAAGCTAATCCTTCAAGATGCAATCGACTGGTTTTAAATGGCGATTTTCAAAGGGTTTAAGACGTACCGAGATCTCCTTGCTTTGCAGCAATGTGGAAAGCATCAAATCCGTTCCTTGCTTTGATCTCAACGAGAGCAAGATCATAGCAGTTGATCATCTCCTTGACAATATCTACGTAACCATACTCTGCTGCAACATAGAGTGCGGTTTCGCCTGATTGGTTTTGTTTCCCCAACAGCTCATTCAACTCAGACTCTCTGGTTTTCATAAGAATCTCAACAACTTTGTCTTTGTTTCCGCTTCTCACGGCTGAATGAAGCAGAGTGTCTTCGCGTTTTCCGGTTAGCTGTTTCGCCATTTTCTTTGATGGCACGCCAGAACCCGCCTTGGTGTCTTCTTCCCCTTCCATCGTTGGATACAACCACAAAACCCTAAGAACCTCTTATCTCAAAATAATTCCATGAAGCGATCAATCAATCTCTTTCTACAAGGCAAAAAAAAAAAAAAAAACAGATTATAAACTGCACATTCTGATTATGGTTATGCAGACAATCTTTGAGCTCGATTTTCTACCTCTCATATCCTTCACCCAGATTATTTACTATTATTGGCCTACGATGATCATCATAGGTAACGATAAAAACATTTTAGTTTTTTGAATAACATCAAAGTTTGATCGAAATACGTTTCATCTCCAAGAAAAAAAATCCAATTCATGCGGAAAATATAAAAGCAAAACCTTCGATTTAACATCTATGAAGCAGCAAAAGAAAAAAGAAGAATGATTGATCATACCAGGTCTCGCTCGAATGGTCGGTCTTCTCCAATGAAGAAGCTTTGAATATATACAAGAAAATGTACTTTGAATATATTACAGTGAGATAGCTCTTGTGGATGATACTTTGAATATATACGATAAAATGTAATGACAAAAAAAAAGCTTGGTGCTCTTGTTAAAGACTATAAGAGAAGTAGAAAGAGAGAAGAAAGTGGAAGAAACAAGATTAATAAAGGTTTATAAGAAAATGGAATTTGGACATGAGAGGCACATGTAGAGCAACGTCGATCACTTTTGTATGTGAATCCATCAGCCAATGAACGAAAACGAATCTATAACATAAATATTTGTGCAACTTTCTTGAAAGGTAGTGATCATGACACCCTTCAAGCTTATAAAATGTTTTCTTCTTTTTAATCTCTACTTATTATTTTAAAATTGTTTGGTTTAAAAGATAGAAAGTAAAGTAGATTCGTTTCTTAGCTTTGATGTATGATCGTTTCTATATATTAGTGGTTTGGCGATTAAAAATAAAATTTAAAACAGTTTATGCTAATAAGTTTCTAATCGCTCATTTTTGCTGGTACTATCCACTCGCTTGACCTTTCACACTCGTGTGCGCTTTAGCTTTTTTTAGTTGTTACATGTCTCTTCATTTTTTCTTTTTTTGTATCGATATTGCTTGCGATAATGTCATCAACATTTATCAAAACAAAACTCCCTCAGAATAATATTTGGTGAAGAGTGTGTGACGAGTAATGAAATCCAATTGTTGCAGAAAGGTGGAACAGTTTAGACTTCAGCCCATAAAGAAAATTTTGAATTCAGTTCTAGTTATGGTGATATTTGAAAGAATGTATACGTAGATAAATATGTAAATATTTAAAACTGAATTATTGTATATGACATTAAGTATTCACATTACTCATTAAAATTTTGTCATGCTCTTTCACCAATCCATTCCAAAACTCCATTAAAATGAGTGATTTATCATTTGCTCTAATCAATACTAAAAGAAAAACTAACATTAAATTTCAGAAACGTTAGATAACAGAAGTCTGCGAGACTGCGACCCAAATAAATAATGTAAACTTCTCCGCCACGGCGCCACCTCAAATAATAAATGGTTTTGGTTCGGCGCAATAAATAGAAATTCATTTAAAAAAAAAAACAAAGACAATTGGATAGTAAAAGTGAGTGACAAACAGAGCAAATAAAGAAGCCTACAAGTAGCTAGACACCATTAATTCATTATAACCACTTAAATATGCTGCTTTTATGTTATTGGTAATGGTATACATCATCAGGTCTGTGCAATTCTCTAAAATCTTCTGTCACTATTCTCTTATTTCTGTAACCTTAGTCTTCTAATTCTCAAAAATTCAGTCACTTATTGACCACCATGTTATATATAATAAATATATAGCCAATCCAAGAAATTTTTTGGTTACAATCAACAGGACATGGTGCATTATCTCTATTTGACTGCTCTGCTGCTTCAAATGTGGTTTATTCTAGAATGACGATAGACGGCATGATATAATAAGTTTTATCAGATCAATTTGTTAAATATGTGTGAAAGCAATTTTTAAAGATAATTTTGGGATTACGGATTAATTATTATTGTGGATCCCTTTTTGGGGTCAAAATTGTTGTGGACCGTTAAATTTAGATTATGATAGTGAAATCCAAACCGAAACAATATTTTCCTATTCTAACAGCTGAAAAAAATAAAGAAAACGATCTACAAGTAGTAAGCATCAACTGAAGAAAGCAATTTTAATTTTGCTAATTTTAGGTTTGAAATGAAATAATATAAATTTTAGTGTACTGATAAAATCATCATTGGTTTAGATAACTGTGGCGGCTGGATTATTTGATTAATTAAGCTGACCTGTGAAAAACATTAATTATTTTGGTGAATATATGGGACCTGAATCGGGTGGTGAAATCAATGCGAATTTAATGTACATCCTACCAAATCAACTCTCTTTTCCTTTCTTTTTTTCCCACCAATCGAATGCTGACACATAATCTTTTAATTTTCATAAAACAGTCAAAATGCATATATGCAACAGCTGTCGAGCACAGATTAAGACAGTTTTCATAATCATGAACACTGATTTATTATCTCTCATATAAATGTCCACTTATTTCACTGTAATTTCCATATTTTTTCATAGCAAAATCCTTTTTCATTTTACATTTTAACCAAAAAAAAGTAAAATCCAAAAGAAACAAAAACCTTAATAAACTTGCTTAATACAATAATACACCGTAATTTTTAAGATGAATAAAACAAATTACAAGACGTTGCAAGAAAAAAAGATACAAACGATAATGTTCTATTTTAACAACTAAAGTGGCATGAACATGTAGCGTGACAAGCTCTAGTTAGTAACTAAATATGTCACAGCAAGCATAATATTAAAATTTTCGGGGTATTATTATTTACCAAAGGAATACAATAAATAGATTATTACACCCAAAAAAATTATTTATTAAAAAAAAAAAGAAATTTTCACGTTTATATCGCAGTATCTTTTGTCATTCATATTTTCTTTCCCATCCAATTAGAAAAAAAAGAAGTAAAATGTAGCAATTCAGAATCCAAATTTTTTTTAAAAAATGAAAATAAACTATATAGTCACCTTTGTGTGGATTTGCAGTTTTGAAGTAGCTGTATATGTTTACATTTAATGATTCGAAGAAAACATCACATAAATCCTTCAGGCATCTTGAAAGTATCAGGATCTTCTTCTTCATGAATCCAACCATACTTCTCAAAAAATGGATTCAAAATCGATTTTGGTGGGTACTGATCAATGCAATGATTCCACACATTCCCCAGAGATTCCCCAACAGTAAGATCTCTCACAACTTCCCAAACGCAACTATTGCACTTGAAACCTGCCCCAAAGCTGATCATGAACACTCTATCTCCTCTCTTCAGCCTCTTCTTTGCCTCCATATATCCCAGAACATACCACAAGCTACTCGCTGACGTGTTCCCAAACCGGTGTAGCGTCATCCTCGCCGGTTCTAGATCGTACTCGTTTAAGTCGAGGCTGTAACCGATTGCGTCGATAACCGCTTTACCTCCAGTGTGAATGCAGAAATGGTCAATACCGGTCTTGAAGTTAATCCCTGCTTTAATCCCTGCCTTTGGAGCTGCCTGAGTCACGTTCGTTGAGCCTTTGCTAGGGTTGCTACGAAGCTTCTTGAGAAGAAGACACAACATAAACCTTAAGAGCTCGGTTACGGGAAGAATCTTGGGAGTGATGACTTTGAGGTTGTCGATGAAAGCACGAGTCGCCGCTTTTGGAAGAGTCTTGTCTAAGTGGACACCGATATGGCCTAGCTCGTCTTCTTTTTGGACACAAGCGCTGTATGAATCGTCTCTGGCTCCATGGTGCGTCCTTACCAAACACCTTAGCTTGAACATGGCTCTCCTGCTCTGACTTCGCTTGTTCGTCAAGAGAACAGCGCAGCCACCGGAGCGGAACAAGCAGTTGGCAAGTATCATCGACCGGTTGTTTCCGCTGTACCAGTTAGGACTAAGTGACTCGGAGGTCACGACAAGAGCAAGCTTGTTCTTGTATGTTTTGAAGATGTTTTTGACAATATCTATAGAGATAACACTGGCGCTACATCCCATCGCCGTCAAGTTGAAGACTTTGATGTCCTCTCTCATTTTGTAATGTTTAATGATTCTTGCAGATAGTGAAGGCGTTGAATTGAGCATTGAGACGTTGACTACGAGGATGTCAATCTCCGAAGGAGAGATTTTGTTTCTCTCAAGGACTTTCTCAATTGTGTCTATGTAAAACTCTTCCATCTCCGAGATCCCATCTTGTAGCGTAGGACGCTGTTCACGGCCCTCGAAGAAGAGCCTTGGTGCGTAAGTTTGCTCTCCAATACCGGAACTAACGATGGCTTTGAGGAGGAACTTGTACTCGTTGAGACGAAGGTGTTTGTTTCGAAGGATGACATCACCGCTGAATTGAGTGCTCACCATGCGATCATCGGAAGGTTTGTGACATTGGTAGTCCAAGATGTAGCAGTTTTGATCTCTCTTGGAGTCTATGTGTTTCCAGATCTTGAAGATGAGATAGGAGATGAGAAGAGAGGAGAGCATAACAAGAAGATCCATTATTGTTTTTATTGGAGTTCAAGAGAGAAGTGATATAAAAATGCAGCCAAGAGTGTTGTGGGATATATAAGAGGACAGTGGAGCAGGAAAAGACAGCTCTCATTTTTTGACAACTCATTCCGTCCAATAGATTATGTCAATATCATTTGGTAAATTCTCCGGGGTTAATAAATTAAGGAGACTTAAATTTAATTGGAAAAGTTACATGCAAGGACAAAATTTATGGTAAGAAACTTGAAACAATAAGATGGCACATTGATGTTTGGTGTAGAAAGTGGACGAGGACTTGGCCTGTCTATTTAAGTATTTATTGATAAAGTCAGGAAGTTTTACACACACATGCACCAACGAGTTATTGTGGATAGATATAATGTATGGGGTTACTAGGAGGACATTCAAGAACTGTATATCCGATATGTAGAAAAGTATATATGTGAACTTGAATGATGCGGAAAAGCGGTGCTCTTTTATGGACTTCAAAACTAGAAATAAATAGATTGATTATAACAGTAAATAGAAAATAACTTCGAGTATCTGGCGGTTCAAATATTAATGTAATTTTGATGTGAAAGCTATTAATGAAATAACAGAATAACCTAGTAGAGATTGGAGTTTGGGTAGTAAAAAGTTAGGACTGGCAAAGTAAAAGTTTGCACCAAGAAATGCGATTTATTTGGGGATATTCTGGCCATTAGCAGACCGCCAATTGTATTCGATTCTCAAACATTCCATTTAAACCACCAATACTCAAACACTGATTGTCATGCTAACTTGTGTCATACATCAAAGATGACACATTGATGTGGATGTGTATTAGTAGTACAATGCTAAGACTTCGCCTGTGTCTATTTATTAAGTTTAATACACGCGGAAAAATTTGGTACGTTGTTCTGAACTTCTGACTTTTCTGTGAAATTAATTATATTATACTTTTTTGTGACATTAACTATATTAAAGACATTTCTAATTAAAATTAGTGTTCATCTTCACTTATTTAAAGATCGTCCGTAAAAAAAAAGAATCATTTATTTAATATCAAAATTAATTATTTCCACAAATTCATGATGTCAAATAGGATTTCATAAGCTAAACACACGACTGTATCGATTGACGTTTGTTGGACCAAAGTTTTTAAGTTTAGATATATTGGGTATCAAAATTAATTCATATGTTTTATTATATGGTATATAAAAGATTTGAGGTTGTAGATGAAAGAGCAATAAAGAGATTTGGTGAGAATGTGAGTATAAAGAAGCAATATACAGGTTTAAGAAACTTTTTTGGATATAAGTGAGAGTGTTGTGATGATAGCTCTCATCTCAACTTCCACCAACCTAATTACGTATCTCTCTTTTACTACAAAGCCATCAACGTAACGCTTATTCACACTATCCGCGTGCGACTACGTCATTTACTTTTTCTCTTACTTAATTGATCGATTTAAATTCATAACCATCTCTTTTAATTCTACAAGACTTACTAGCTCGTTTCAGTTTAGTTGTCGTTTTAGGATTAAAATTTTGTTTCATAATAGTTGTCGTTTTAGGTTTTCAATGCAAATGTTTGGTGAAAATTAATGTTTTGTCATTAATGTTCTAATGTTTTGACCAATGAAAAAATTATAAAATATATTAATAAAGGGTAAAACAAAAAATTTAATGATTTTCTTAATTTATATGCAAAAACCTTAAACGACAACTAAAACGAAACGGAGGGAGTATTATTTTATACACATATTTGAATTTATTTGGACGCACTATATATATATATATATATGTCAATAACGATCACGCGTTTTACTGCGTGTCAACTTGCTTTATAAAAATGGTCGAGAGGATTGCATGCAAACACTTTGCGAAAGCGTTAATTAAGAGTAGTTTTGAGGTTAGTTCTAATAATGGAGGAATTAATGTTTGCCGGTGTTTTTAGTTAGCTGGTCACTTCATTTTATAAGTTTTGACTTTTCTTGAAATTATCCAAATAAACCAAACTTGTCAATTCGATTTCTAGCAAATGGGGAGATGACACTGGTTCATCATTTGCGTGTGATTGAATTATTAATCATATGTCTCTTTCATTGTGGCTAGCTTAGTGATTAAATGTCCTTGTATATTGTCTAAAATTTTTTTTTTTTTTTTTATATATATATTGTGTGTTTTTTTGATAAACGGCTTTCAAATTAAGTGTACGTGTGTTAAGAACATTTCTTTCAAACCTAGATCGTAGGCCAAATACAATAATTACTACTAGCTTTGTTGTAAGACAGTGAGATATGGGATGGTAATATTTTTTATGCAGGCAAAACATGGACAAAAAGAAGCAGTATGCATGTTGAGATGTTAACTCTGAATTGAGTCACTTTTTATAATGAGATGTTAACATAACATGTTTTTGATTTTTTTATCAGAATTTAAATTAACATGCATGTTGCCACTGAAAAATTTAAGACAATGGCAGATAATATCGTGGGAAAAAACTGGTATACGTCTCCTATGTTAGCATACGGAATACTAAAATAAATCCAACATCATTAAAGACTTGTTCATCTAACTACTTAACTTCCAACCACAATTCTTTTTATTTCCCTGCGGCGAATCATGGCCTTTTTTAGCAACGAGCCATATTATTTTGTCGGTCCTCTATCATGATTTATTTTTATTTTATATTTTAAAGTCAACTGTACTTGTTGAAATTCTCACAATCTCTCTATCTTTCACACTCATTTACGGTTTCATTGTCTTTAGAGAGAAAGAACAAAAACCATTTTACTATAATCTTCTACATTGATAATTGATTGGATTACGAGGATAACATTACACAACATCACACACACACTCTTATACTAGTTTTACTTCTACTTACTAGTTACTACACACACTTGCACCATGCTTCTACTTGGACTCTAGACATAACAACTTCTACTAGGCCATTCTTCTAGGCTCTAGTTTACAAGCAACCTTACCTTAGACTACAACCACTCTCATTTAGCTACTCTAGCTTAGCTTAATTATTTATAAGCACACCATACACACATAATCTGGGCTCAACTCTACTAACGGCCCATTTACAAACCAAAACACACAATTACTATGTGGGCTTCACTCCAGCCCAATAGCCTCATCTTTGACTTTCTCTTCTCTTCTGTTGACTCTTCTTCTTCGACAACTTCTTCTCCTTTTGCTTTGCTTTTGCATCTTCTCTTTTCTTCTTCATCTTCTTCTCACTTGAAGCTTTTCTCTTTTGCAGGTTTAATCAAGAACTCAATCTCAACACTCCCTCTTGAGTTCTTCGATTAAATCCCCAATTTCAATTTTAGGGCTTTCAATCCCATGGCTTCTTCTTCTTCGATAGATCGCCTCTCTTCTCTTCTTCGGCGAGCATCTCCTTCTTGCTTCTATTCCTTTAATAGAGCTTCTTTCTCTATCGTGGTGCATAGCTTCTCCAACGACAGCTAGAGGTCACAACTCTCACAGATCACCAGTCACCGTCACGGTGAAAGTCTCCGCCGCGTCTTCAACCACCACTTTCTCCGTATGTTGGCTTTCCCTCTTAAGCTGAATCCCCATGGATCCAACCCTTTTCTTTCCATTTTTGTTGCGAATATTTTTGCCATCTCTTGGCTCATTCTCTTTGCAATCTCCTCTGTTTTCTTTGATCAATTCCTGACCAAAAACTTTTCTTTGCAGGAAACACTTCAACTCTTTGCCATGAGCCTTCCATGTCTCCTCCAAGTTTTCTCCTTCGTGAGCTCTTCTCACGTTCTCATTAAATTTCTTCTCCATGAGACCATGACCACTCGTCATGTCTCTTGCTCGGCTGACATTGCAACCGGCTTCAGCTCCCACTGTGGTGAGCTTCTTCTTTGCTTGGTCTCAACTGTGATCACCAGCCTTGTTCTCTTTTTTTTCATTCTCCGAACCATCACCTTAGCATTTAGCCTTGGACTTTTGACTCTGGCACCATCACCCGGCTTCTCTTACCGTAGTCTCTTAGGTTTCTCCATGAGTCTCATCCTTGCTTTCTTTGCCTTAGATTGTTTGGCTCTTTGAATCTCCACCTCAGTTTTCTTAACCCTAGCTTGATTGGTTTCTTGAATCATCAACCTCGGCATTCTCCGACTTGGTTTGTTTGATCCTTCACCACCACTTTGGTTATTCTAACCTTGGATTCTCCTTCTCGTTTTCAGGTTTTGATCCACTCAGATTTCAACCCTAGTCACGGATTGGAGCTTCTCGACACCATTGCTGCCACCTTAGTTGCTTCCTCTTTGACGCAAGACTACATAGTCTACATTTCATCTTGGAGGTTGCAACCAAGCTTACATTGGTGCCTTCTTCCTTCTTTGCCTCAGCTTCTTCTGCTGCAGGCATCTCCTCTCTAGTTCCGAATCCTCTTGGTATTTTTAACCAAGGTTTCTTCTTTCTCCTCGTTTCAGCTGAAGAATCGCATGGAATCTCCACTTCATCGAGCATATTTGAGCTTCACCAAGACAATGTCGAACAAGGATTGAATTCATCACCTTTCACAACACCATCTCCACACCGTTGTCTTCATTGCTTCTTCCAGAAGATCTCCACGTCTACTTGGATGCACCTGAAGCCCTCCTTCTCTAAGGTACGGTGGGAAAGAGTTTGTGTAGGTTGGTGGTGCTCTTTCTTGTCACCACATCTCTTTCCTTCTCTTCTTTTCCGACATAATCTCAGCTTTGCTCTTCTTTTCCCTCAGCCTTACACTTCTCTTTCTTGTGCAGGCTCTTCTCTTCTTTTGTCTTGAGCACAGATCCACTCAAGATTTAAATCTCTTGCCTTGAGCTCAGGTCCACTCAAGGTCTCACTCTCTTCTTCTTCTTCTTCCACGGCTTCTTTGCCGTCTCACTTACAGCAGCTTCTTGGGCTGCATCATCTCTTCATCTTTGCCGTCTTCTTCTTACGGCCAGCTTTCTTCTTTGTTGATGGCTGTCTCCATCTTCCTCACAGCTTCTTCTTCCTTGGACAGGCTCCAAGAACAAGTAGGCTCTGATACCATGTTGAAATTCTCACAATCTCTCTATCTTTCACACTCATTTACGGTTTCATTGTCTTTAGAGAGAAAGAACAAAAACCATTTTACTATAATCTTCTACATTGATAATTGATTGGATTACGAGGATAACATTACACAACATCACACACACACTCTTATACTAGTTTTACTTCTACTTACTAGTTACTACACACACTTGCACCATGCTTCTACTTGGACTCTAGACATAACAACTTCTACTAGGCCATTCTTCTAGGCTCTAGTTTACAAGCAACCTTACCTTAGACTACAACCACTCTCATTTAGCTACTCTAGCTTAGCTTAATTATTTATAAGCACACCATACACACATAATCTGGGCTCAACTCTACTAACGGCCCATTTACAAACCAAAACACACAATTACTATGTGGGCTTCACTCCAGCCCAATAGCCTCATCTTTGACTTTCTCTTCTCTTCTGTTGACTCTTCTTCTTCGACAACTTCTTCTCCTTTTGCTTTGCTTTTGCATCTTCTCTTTTCTTCTTCATCTTCTTCTCACTTGAAGCTTTTCTCTTTTGCAGGTTTAATCAAGAACTCAATCTCAACAGTACTATTTTCATAAATTTTGCTTTCAGTAAATTTTCCTTTTCCTTTTAGTAAAAATATGTTTATTTCAACAAATATACTTAATTCAAATCCGCCGCATGGCTAAACCATGTTAACATCAAAGTGCGTGTTTGACCACACGGTCCACACCCATACCATAACATTAACGAAGTAACGAAATTCTTTTAAACCAGCCATTTGCTTAAAACTACACGTTATGGGTGTGAACAAACACGTACAAGAAGATGAGATCAATATTCAATAAAACTCAAGCGAGCACAAGTACACACACTCATCTGGAAATAGCAAATGGAATGTGGCCTTTTATATCTAGGGTCCTATAATTTGAACTCTTAAAGCCTAAAATTGGTTTGGATTTTTTAGCCTAGGACCAGGCGGCTATGATTCGTTGCCATAGAGCTATTACTTCAAATCCGTCGCATGGCTTTGGCTAACCATATACTTCTTAGTTTTGGATACGGGCACGGATCTTTCTAAACCAATATACAGGTCGGTTATGTAATTATTAAGATCTTCAGGGGTAAATCTGACAATCTCACATGACCCGACCGGGTATTTCTTATAGAAACCCGTATACCCGGGCATGAGCTTTCTCGCTACGGAGGCTTGGATCTCGCCTCTCAGGTTCGGGTCGGGTACGACCCAAGTCTTGTGCTTCTTGTAAGCCTCTTCGAACGCCTCGTTGAACCGTCTCAGAGACTCCTCTCTCTCCGTCTCCGCCGTTGAATCTCTGGGGATCGACGTAATCACGTCTCCCCACGCCATTTTCTCGTATTTCTCGAGGTACTGACTCACTTTAACCTCGTGATTCGCTACCCAATCGTCTCCGAGTACGACTCTGAGGTTCGATGTACGGACCTTGGTCACAACGTAATGGAGGTTGTTGGCGAGGAAGAGATACGAGAGAGCCGAGTCGTTGTAGAGCCGAGATTTGGCGTCGACTTTGCAGAGCAAGACGAGAATCAACCACGCGAGTCTCGCCGCCATCGGAGACCGACCACCGGATCCTGGATTTTCTTCGCCGCTGCTGCTGAAGTAATCCTCCGGTAAAGGTAACGATGACTCCTTGAGAATTGTAGCGAGAGAATCGCTGTAGTCTGCGAGGAAGACGATGAAGTTCATCACATACCTCGTGAGCTGGTGAACTCCGCCACCAGATATCGCCGATTTCGACGATTCTTTCGTAATCGACGATTGAAACTCCGTCATCATCGCATTCACCGATTCCGATAGTTTCTCTAGAGATTCATTCGCCTGTAATCTAACGGCAGCGGTTGAATCGTAGCTGAAGATCTGATCGATTTTGGGAATCAGATGCAAGATCGTCTGGTAAACGTCAAGCGTAGGGAATATTTTCTCTGCAGTTTTTCTGGATTTAGCTACGGTTAGTGAGAAGATGAAGAGGTTTAACGCGCTCTGTAGCGTAATCTCCACGAAGCAAGATTCAGCGACGGCGGAGGAGAAAATGTGATCGGAAAGGATTCGTTCGCCGTTGAACAGAGTGTTGATTGCTACTCTCGCAACCCTCACCCATATTTTGATCTTCTTCTCCAGAATCTCCCATTCCAGTTTCTGCATCTGCGTAGAGGTTAGCTTCTCGAACCCTAGATGAGACAATGCGTCGACGATGATCTTTTTTCGAAACTTCTTGTAGATTTTAACACAATCCTTCTCGTAACCAGAAGAGATCATGCAATTTGCTATCATCTTCAGATCCACAATAGCTTCAGAATTTCCTCCTCTGTCGTTACCTAATTCCGATGAAGATTCGGAATCAAGCTCTCCATCTGATGAAGAATCCGAAGCGGTTCCACTTGATCTCGAAGGTGTGTTGGATTCAGATGACCAACCAGAGACGGATTCTGGACTCAGAATGCGGCGATTCGATTTCAAAACCCGGTAAAACTCCTTCTCCAAATGCTTCATAGCTTTCCGCATCAAATCCTGCCCTTGAGCGAGTTTAGCGGAGTCCGGATTCATAGCAACGGTACTCTGAATGGCGTATTGTAACCTGCCGAGAACCTCGAGGAAGCGTCTGCCTTCTAGGCGGTTTTGAGCGGAGAAGAGGGAAGAGAGGCTGCATGAAGAAGAAGAAGAGTCGTAAAGGTGCGGAGTAACCCATTGGCATATGAAGGCGTCAGCTGCCTCCACACTATCGCCGATTAGAGACTCAGAGAAGCCTTGTTGCTGTTGCGGCCCGAGCTTAGAGGATTTTGTTAAGGCAGATGGTTTCAAGAGCACCATCGTTTCTTGGGTTTGAAGAAATGCGTCTTAAGGTGTTGGGGTATTTATTTAGCATCTCTGGTTTGTTGTTCCGGTGATTGTTTTTGTTGTTGGAGCCGTTGGGTCCAAGTTCGTCAAAATGTACACGCTGGTCTTCCGTATATTTCTCTCATTTTGTTTTCAAATACGAAAATCTATTATCGATCGGGCTAGTAAAAGGCTAATAGCTGTATAGTCTGATTTTGGTACAACAAATTGTTTGTGTTAAATTTAGACTGAAATTTATAGGTTGTGTGAAGTTGTATGGATAAAACACATATGCATGTATTCATCATTGTCTTTTGAAATTCTTAATTTAGAGGTATAGTTTGTTAAATGGATAGTGGCAAATAACTTTTTCCTCTGTTTTTGTTCTTTAAGAGTACAAGTTGGAATTAACGAGGGATTTGTTGTCAAATTAATAGGTGTTCACGTTTTCTTACAATTCAGGATGACAAAAAAAACATAAAGAGAAGAGGAAAATAAAAACTAGTAAGAAAGATAAACGGTACACTCCAGAACAGTCTCAAGCCCATCTGTGAACTGGTGCGGCTGCTGCTGCTGGGTCCCGGAGGAACCCGTAAAAGTCTTGACGATGGAGTAGCCTCTCGCATTCACATACTTACCAGTACCACCCATGACCCCAAGATGAGATTCGGATGCAGCTGTTCTATGCACACCGAAGAAACTGATGCTATCTTCATATCCACCACTCTCAAACATAGCCGTGAAAGCCATAGTCTGGCTGGTTCCATCAATGGCACTTGCCACATAGAAGCCTTGGGCTTTACCCAGCAGACCGGACCCGAGTTCGTGCCCTTCGGTTAGTTCGTTGTCCATCACCGTCAGTGTCCCAAACATGAGCATCTGAAGAGACGAACCCGATGGGAGCTGGCCGCCGTTAGCCACGGGGAGACCGTTCAACATGTTGTTTCCATTGTTCTGTAGAATGTTGGAAGTGGTTCCGCCAAGCCCGACGAGGAGCGGGACGTTGTTGTTGTTCAGGATTCCATTGTTGTTATTGTCTGTTGGAACACCGTTACTAACAGGAAGGTTTGCGCCGTTGGGCTTGGCGAATGGAATTTGGCCACTGAGGGCTGCGTTTGCAACGACTCCAGTCACAGCCCTGGCTGTCGGATTTGAGCCGCCGAGTATATCATGCATGAAGAAAACCAAAGTGTTGTCGGGAACTGAACCACCAATCACTGACCCGGCACCTGCGCCCAGACCCGTAGCTGCAGCACCTGAACCAACAGTAGGCAAAGGCCCTGAACCTGCACTAGGCAAGATACCCGAACTAGCACCCAGTAAGGGACCTGAACCAGTGGTTGGTAGAGGACCAGAGCCTATAGTAGGCAAGGGACCAGAACTAGCAACCGGTAAAGCACTAGAAGCAGTGGTTGGTAGAGGTCCGGGGCCAGTATTGGTAGTCAAGGGACCTGAACCACCTGAGGCTGGACCTGTACCTGAAGCGATACCAGTTGCAGAACCTGAATTAGCAGAGGGAAAGGGGCCTAAACCAACCGTTGGTAAAGGACCAGGACTTGTGGTAGGCAAAGGGACCAACCCAATATCTTCTTCTTCATCAAGAAGCCGACCAGCTGAGACAAAAGTAATGGCGAGAGCTAATATCAGGAATACGAGTACTTTGTAGCCTGCCATTGACAAGGAGAAAGATCAGAGACTAAGATTGTTAATTTGAATTTGAGTTGAATTGTTTCTAATTCTCGTGTGCTTATATAGGTTGATTCTAGAAGAGCATTTATATATAAAATGAAGCTATGTTGGTGATATAAGAAGATGTAGTTGATGAAACAGAGTAGGTGACATACTGACAACTTTTCCATTATATGGGTGGTTCGGTTTAGAGAAGAAACATAAATAAAAGAAAAAAAGCCAGAAAACTTCAGCTATAACTTCACCACAAGATCTTGAATGTTTCCAATGTGTGAATTAACCAAAGATCTAACATTATAGGTCTCTTATCCTGCAAATTTCCCCCTCAGCAATTTTCTTGAATCAAGAAGAAATTCAACCCTGTAACATTTTAACTGACAGGAATAGATAAGTATGAGAATCTTACATTTAATGCTTAGGTGGAAATAGCTTCTGACAAAGCCTCACAATAAGCTCCTCCATCCTTGATGCAGAGATCACAAAGTAGATTTTGCCAAGCACTATATCCAAAGCTTAATTTTTTCTTTCCCATCACCTCTAACACAAAGCAAGCATGGTCCAAGTTACCGCCTTTTATCAGCCCAGAAACCATACGTACAAACGTTGCAGGTGTGGGAGAGTGTCTGCTTGCAAGCATTGCATTCAAAACATTCAACCCTGAATCAAAATCCCCAATACGACAAAACCCATCAACAATCATACGATATGTAGCTGCATTTGGTTTACAACCTTTCATCTGCATTTCCGTCAGTGTTCTATAAGCCTCGGGGACTCTACCCTCAGTGCAAAGATGGTTTACCAGAATATTATAGATGACAAAATCTGGTTTGATCCGTCTTTTCTTCATCTCGCCGAGTAGAATCTTTGCCTCATCGATTTTCCCTCTCTTTCCAAGGTCACTCATTAAAACCCCGTAGTTAACGAGACCCGGTTTACACCCACGATACTCCATATCAAACATCAACTTCTTTGCTTCATTGTACTCTCCGTTACAACATAAACCTTTCATTAACAACCCAAATGTCACAGCATTGGGGCGTATTCTTTTCTTAATCATATCTTCAAGCAAGCTCGTCGCCTTACCCATATCGTTATTTCGGCATAAGAATCCAATCAGGCTATTGTATGTCACAACACTCGGTTGCACTTCCATCTCAAGCATTTCGTCGAACACCTTACATGCAGCTTCCCAATCGCATTTATCAAGAAACCCTTTGATCAATATATTGAAAGAGACCGAATTGGGACGCAAACGCATATCCTTTGCTCCGTCGAAAAAGCTTTTTGCCTTTTCCAACTCGCCGTTATCGACCAGAACGTTGATGAGAGTGTTCAGAGACTGAATCGTACGAACACAATCAAAGGAGGTCAGTTTGTGGAAAACATCGACGGCTTTATCCACCCAACCGGCTTTCCCGTAATGCTGAATCAATGCCATGAAAAGGGATTCTCTGCACCGGACGTTTCGATAGCGAACAAGGCGGAGAATTTGATCGACAGCGTCGAAGTTACGGGACTTTGCAAGCTTGTAGATGAGAGAAGAGTAAGATGGGTAGTCGTGTCGGAAACCCATTTCCTGGTATTGGTGGAAGAGAGAAAGAGCTTCCTCTGGGTCTTCAATTTCTTTGAGATCGGTGAGAAATGGAACCTCCTCCCATGGCTTCCTGGTGAATTTGTGAGTTGGTTCATGGCTGGTGGCTTTCTTTGTGGGTTTCTCAGGTCGAGATGTGTGGTAATGGCGTTGGGACGCGATGCAGTGATTGTTGATTAGAACGGAAGATAGTCTTCTACGCATCGGGTTCTCTTCGTCTTCTTCCTTTGCTCTGTTTCAGCTTAAATATGCAAAACTCGGAATAAAGCTTTTTTATTTTATTTTGTCAAAAAAGCTTTAATATTCATATTTTATTAATTTCCTGTGTTATTATCAAATAAATATGGGTCCTTCTCCTTCTACACATTTGGTAAATAAATTTTAGCATTACATATTTTATCTTGAAAAAAAACGCTATCGACTCCTTCCATGTTTCCGTTGTTACAGTATAGTTCTACATTTGAAAACCAAAACAAGAATCCATCTGATCATTGTTTCTATCCTCATTTATGGGTGGTTCTCTTCTTGCAGATCCAGATGATGGGCGTAGATAGCCAATGAGGTTTATAAACATTGTTGATTCTCCTTGCGAGTCAATGTCTTCACAGTCTGGCCTGAAGGCTATAAGGAAAACAAATACGCACAGAAACTGTAAAATTTAACTAGACGAATCTGAACTAGGAGATGGGTAACATTTGTTTGGTGAGCAAAGTACCATGGAGGTGTGTTTTAAGATGGAGATGGTGCAGTTGCTGTTCTTTTGGTCACGTGATAGCATAAGTCTCACGTGTGGGATGCTTTTCCATGTTTCCCCAAGAGCTGGTTTGGTTTTACCACCTTCTCCTCCAGCCCCCACCGTGTGATTCGTCATCTTCAATACAAAAGGAGAGACAAAAAATAACTTAACTATAAAGAACAATGACACACTTAATGGCCTGAAATTTCATTAATACCAGTATAGCGATGCTATGTTCATGTGCCAGCTTCTTAAGCAAATATCCAATTGCCACCATCAAAGCGCGTCCTGCACACACCAAATTTCTGAGTCCTTCTTCATAATCACCAGCTCAACGGTTGACCATTTAGGTGAAGAAAAAGTGATGGGCATACAAGGACATGTACCCTGTGAGCCACTGCCTCCAAGGATTGGGGTTAACAGAGAAGAGATTGAATCAACAACTAACAACCGTAGCCTGTACTCAGTCACATTCATCTGCACGTGAAAGAGATAGATAACTCATGGTTAACACTGAGAATATAGACATTAAAGTGACATTGAGGAAAATGCATCTTCTAGCTAGCTTAATACCTGCGACCTCAAAGTAACCTCTAGACCTTGCAGCGTATCAAACATTGTATAGATGTCATAGACCGTGTGACATGATATTCTGCTCATGACTGTCTGCACATATACGTTTCTTGTCCATAAGATTAAAAAGATGAAGAATCGATGATTGGTGATTGACTAAAGAACTGAGTCATACGCTAGGGGACAAGAATTGTCAGTAAATCAACCTGTCCTAGAGCAGCATCCGAACTGGAGCAGATAAATTGACCAATACGTCGGGCAGAAAAAGAGTTTCCTGTGTCTAAATACAAGACTCTACCAAGATGATTCTCTGCCACACTCGCAGCAGCTTGCATGCAAAACTATTCATTCATGAGAACTCACACAAATTAAAGAGAGCGCAAAAAAGCCTAAGCAAAGACAACACTTTCTTCTATGAATAATGTTTTTTTCACACACAAGACAAAAACATGAATAATGAAATGGCTAACAGAAAACACATACTTGTGTTTTACCAGAAGAGGAAGGTCCAACAAGTTCTGTCAGCTGACCCTCACGGAATCCACCTTGAAGCAATGAGTCCGTACCTTTGTCTCCGGTGGAGAGAGCATGTTTATTACGCTGTAGATCCTCCAACAGTTCTAAACCATTCAACCATGGCCGACACTGAAGTTCTATCAAAGAAAGCATGAGAGTGATACCCTGAAGAATCCAAAGGAAAACATGTACCTTTGAGCACACACAGTCAAACCTCAAGAATTGAATTGAGCAAATCGACAGTAACCTTAAGTAAAAGCTAACCTCTTTCAATCTATCTGCATTTGTATGTCGTTCAGAAAATGCAGCAAGTTGGTAGAGATCATGAAGAAGGAAATCCTCAACTGCAATTTTAATAGATGAGAAAAGCCATCAACACAAACATAGAAAAAGGAATCCACTTAGAAGCAAACTCGATTCATGATTTGTATAGTGTATGCAAAAATCCAATTCATTACTAGAACCCAGAATAGAAAAAAAAAAAAAAAAAAAAAAGAGGCAATTCGTCGAACACTTAATGCATAAACGATCAAACAGCACACTATCCAGATTCCAGAATACGAGCTCTTCGAAAACTGAAATTAGAAGCTTTTTAAAGTAAACTTACACTAATTGGACTAAGCCATTGTGTTTCTCATGTTCATATGCCAACCACAGTCGTTTTTTGCAGGCAAACAATGGAAATCGATACGAGAAAACGAAGTAGAAGAATAGAAGATGTAGAACAGAACCTGTTAGAATTCCATGAGAGGCACAGAAATCTCGGAAACAGGCGTCGATGATTGGATTTTCCTTCTCCAGATGTTTGAGAGGCGCCATTGTTACACCTCCACTGCCCCAAATTGGAAAAGAACAATTCATTTAGCCTCCGGTTCGTTTTCACAACCCAGACCCTGAATCCCGGTTTATCCCAATCTAAAAACCGCACACCGGTAAACCCTAAACCAACAAAAGCTGATTTACAGATATTTTTCTTCCTTTTGTTTTTTCACTTTACAAATATTGTTTTATTTTTTATAATAAATCTTTGATAATTTGAAATAATTTTTCATATCCAAAGTTAGGTGTTCATTGATGGTTTATAATTTACATATTTCCAATTTCTATAAATGATTTGCTTTCAAATTTTGGATAGTTTAATTATAATATTTGTAACTTTATTAAAAGAAATTTTAACATGTAACAAAATCTAAATACTTGTTTTAGACATGATTTCTTTCTTATAGATTATATTGAAAATAATTATGTGTCACATAAATATAAAATGCACTGAAATTTAACCCAAAAGACTGCCTATATTTGGCTTATTGCAAAACATTACTCTATATCTATATATATAGCTCCACCTTCCTCAAAAACATCTCATCATCAAAATCTCAAACATATATTTTCTAAGAAAAACAAAAAACTACAGGTTGATAAGAGTTATTAAAATTAAAAGACATGAAATTCACAACTTTAGCATTCATTGTCTTTGTTCTATCGTCGGTGGCTCCAATATACGGAGGGATTGTTAAAGTTTCGTGGGACGAGAGGAAAGAGGCATGCATCGTAACAAAATTGCAACCATGCCTACCAGCGGTAACAAACGAAAGCCCACCATCAACAGAATGTTGCAGAAAATTGAAAGAACAACATTCATGTTTTTGTGATTACTTGCAAAACCCACAGTTTAGTCCATATATTACAGCTGGTAAAAAAGTCTTAGCGGCTTGTAAAATACCTTATCCTAAATGTTGAAGTTTTGAATATTTATAAATTAGTCATTAATGTAAAATTTATCAAAATCATATGTAATAATATTAATGTTGATCATTGGAATCTATAAATATGTTGTCATGATTTAACATGACTCAATATAATCTTCCTATTCTTATAACCTGGACATGTATAGAAGAACTATACGGTGTAGATCATCTAACAGTTCCATATATACCGTTCAACCATGTCCAAAAAACTGAAGTTTTATCAAAGAAATCATGAGTGATACCTTGAAGAAAGCCAAAGGCGCAAACATGTAAAATTCAAAACTCAAAAATTGATTTGAGTAAATATTTACTTAGCAGAATATATAGAGTACAGAAACATGATTAGAGGGATTTACCCTTAATTATAATCTAATAATATATTATATCTAATCAAATTAAATACAAGATATTCCTAATTTCTATCAATTTGTTGCAAACCTTCGAACACCTTAAGCGTACATGATTAAATTTCAAACATCACACTCCCGAATTCAAAACTAATGAGGTGAAGTATCATTAATAAAGGACTAAGAAATTTTGTCTCACATGTTTATATGCCAACCAGAGTCTTTTTGCACTCAAAACATGCGAATTCCAAATGAATCGAAAAACCGAAAAAATGAGGTACAAGAAGAGGAAGGTGTAGAATAGAACTTGTAAGAATCCTAAGAGGCGAATAAATCTCGGAAACAAGCCTCCATGATTTTTCTCCTTCTCCTATGTTTAAAAGGTGCATGTTTTACATCTCACCACCCGAATGTGATTCATGACTGGAAAAGATCTTTAATTGTTACCGGTTCGTTTTCACCACCCAGATTCTAAGAGCATCTCCAATGGTAGACATCCACAGAGTGTCTCACCAATATAATATTAATATTTTTATGTTTACTTTATTTATAGAAACTCACACTAAAATTCTACTTCTATTAGTGAGATATCTCTATGGGTGTCTCATCAATATAATATTTATATTTTATATTAAATTTAATTTTTCAATAATATTTTTAAACATATCAAATTATATCTTAAATATAGTCATTCAAACAAAATAATTATATTTTTTTTGAAGTAAATAATATAATGATTATTAATAATTTTTAAAACATTAATTATAAATAATATACTAAAGAGACTATTATTTTTAAAACCACAATTAAACATAAATTGAATTTTAAGTAACATATAAAACCATAATAAAGATATATAAATTAAACACAAAATTACATATAAAACCATGATAACATAAATTAAAATGCAAATAAAAACATACAAAACCAAAATAGATAATATATGTTTTACTCTTCACTTGAGGATGCGACAAACTTTTGCCATATAGATTCTAATATTATAATATTTTATTAACTAAAAATATTAATTTAAACTTAACTAATATCAATTAAAAATTATATTAATAAATAGTTTAAACTTTGGTATAATGGAACTTGATATATAGATAATTTTATTTATGAATTGTAGAAAAATAAAAAATAAAAAATAGTAACTTATAACTATTTAATTGATATTATAAATCTTAGAGTAATTGAATTTTAAAAAAAAATTGTTAAACCAATATAAGAGTGACATGTGTATGAGAGAGAGAGTGTCTCAAAATGTCTCAAATGAGAAACTTGTCTCAAAGTGTCTCAGCTTTTTTGATTAAAAATTTATTTTTATTTATTTTTGATTTATTTTTATTATGGATGTCTCATGGAGACACCATTGATGGAAGTGCTCTGAAGACCGGTTATTCAAATCTAAATCAATAACCAGGTTAACCTAAACCAACGGTCTTGGCATATATTTTTCTTCTTTTTGTTACACAACTTATTTTCTTATTTACAATTAATGTTTGAAGATTTTCAAAATTTTAAAACATTGTTTCATATCAAACTTATATCTAAATTATTATTGTACAATCCAAATATTTATAATTGAATATTTACAAAGAATGTAAGTAAATGGCATTGTTTTTTTTTTTTTTTTATTGTCTATCATAAAGTTTGTCGTTTGTAAAAGTGTGCACTAATATTTGAGAAATTTGCGAAAGTATTTGAAGATTTGCAAATATGTTTCCATTTTTTTAAAAAAATTATTTATTCACTTTACAATTATTATTTCATTAATTAAAGTTAATGTTTGAAGATTTGCAAAGTTTTATTAACATTTTTTCATATCATATTTTCTATATAAATTAGTATTGTACAAATTCAATATACAGAAAGAAATATTTACAATTAATAAAAACTGATTTGTTTTAAAAGTTTGATAGTTTATCATAATCTATGTAATTTTATTTAGTTATATTTTCAAGAAAATTCTAACATGTGACACAAATCTAAATACGTGTTTACACAGTTACATAAAAATATTGTATCACACAGATATAAGTTAGTAAAAATCAAAAAGACAAAAGACACTAGCTAAAAATCACATCTGCTTTTACAAAAAACAAAAACAAAAAAACAAAACACAGTGGCCTATTGCAAAACATTACTCCATCCCTTAATATCTTCTATATATAGCTTCACCATCTTTTATTCCTTTGAACATCTCATAATTAAAATCTCAAAGATATTCAAGCAATCGGAATAGAATTATATAAAAAGGAGCTACGAAGCTTACAAGATATGAAGTTCACTACATTAGTATTCATCGCCTTCGTTTTGTCGTCTCTGGTTCTGACCAAAACAATGATTTCGGGGAAAGAGGTGAAAGCGGCATGCGATTTTGCAAAGTTCCAAATATGCAAGCCGGCGATAATAGCTGGAAGCCCACCGTCAGAAGAATGTTGCGGAAAGCTAAAAGAACAGCAGTCGTGTTTGTGTGCTTACGTGATAAGTCCATCGATTAGTCAGTATATTGGAAATGCTAAAAGACTCATAGCGGCTTGTGGTATACCTTTTTCTAATTGTTCATAATATTATAATTATCAAAATCATATTTGATAATGTTTATAATTGGGAGTTTGTCATGTCATGGTTATTCAGATGATTCAATAAAATGAACATTTTTCTTATATACATTAGTAAAAACAAAAACAAACATATCAACTAACATATAGAAAAGAAGAGTTAATCACTAGGTATATAATTCAACATAGGTGAGCAAGAAATGATTATATGCCCATCTTGACTAAAAGAAACCTAGTAAGTATTTCCCATTCACAATTCACATATACGACATGTCACGACTCCGACTCCTACTCCGTGGTATGAACCAATCTCTAGTTTTACTAACAAAATCCCACGAATTAGAGGTAAAAGTCATAGACTTGGTACTCAGTTTAAAGTATGATACATCGCCGTTCCATCCTCGAGATTTTGTAACAGGAGGATTTGTTATTGTAGTCGAGAGCATGCATAGTTGATCTTGTACGAATTCGTGGGTTGGATTCACTTGGTTCTCCTGAACACGGATTCTAAATCACAAGTCTGTTGTCTTTGGTGCATAGCGAAAGTGTAAATCAATTTCTTCTGAAATTTTAGAAAGAGGATCTTTTAGACTGAATTTACTTGTTGCCTTTACAGAGGAATCAGCCCTATCGTTATGAATTCCTTAAAAGTAACGCTAACTAAATAAGCCCTAAAATCAATCAACATGATAACCAAATTAAGGAGACTGCTTTGGAACTTTAATTTAGGAGAATTCTTCTTAGCAAGTCATCATTGTTTCATATCAAAATTTGGAAGAAATTATATGTGCTAAAAATTAACAAAATCTTAATGTGTATAAACATGTAAATTTTTTTGAATTACAAGAAAATATGTGTCACATAGGTATGAAATGCTCTAAAATTTAAATTAAAAAAGAGAAAATTCACTTCCTAAAAGCGCACTTGCCTATTGAAGAACATTACTCTATCTATATAACTTTCCCATCCTTACACATCTCACAATAAAAAAAAAAGATCTCAAACGTTTTCTAAGCAAAAAAAATAAAAAAAAGAGAAGAAGAACTAGAATTAGGTTGTGGAAGTTGCTAAAGTTATAAGACATGAAGTTCATCACTGCATTAGTGGTCATCGCCTTTGTCATGTCGTCTCTGGTTCCGACCAAAGCGATTAGAGTTTCGAGGGAAGAGGAGAAAGTAGCTTGCATCGAGACAGATCTCCAAGTATGCCAACCAGCGTTAGAAACCCCAAGCCCACCATCAACGGAATGTTGCAAAAACTTAAAAATACAACAGTCATGTCTATGTGATTACATGGCAAACCCATCGATTGAGAAGTATCTTGAACCCGCTAGAAAAGTCTTTGCGGCTTGTGGTATGCCTTATCCTAGGTGTTGAATTTTAAAATGTTTATAAAATAATTATCAATGTTAAAACTGAAGTTATCAAAATCATGTTGTAACAATTAATGTTGATCATTGAGAGTCTATAATGTGATGATGGTTTAACTTGATTCAGTATGGTGTTCGTTTTGAGTTATATATATTGTTTTAAAAATACTCGTTAACTTCACGTTTGGTGGAAAATCGTATGAATTTGATAAGGCCTTGTGCGTACTCTCTAGTTAAAAGGCTCATACATAGATCCTAACGAGAAATTGTACATCCGTGTGTGGTATCTGTTTGAATTCGGAGACATTGCAGATGGTAATCTAGTATACAGATATAAAACTTTACAAGAAATGAATTTTTGCTTTTAACAAAAAATCGGTCCAAAAAAGAAAAAAAACGATAGCAAATTTAAACAGAATTGAAACTAGAAAACGAGTACATGAAAAAGGTTAGAATCAAACGAGAGGCGCATAAACCTTGAAAACATGCGTTGATGATGGAGTACTCCTTCTCAAATGTTGGAGAGGCGCGGCACCAGTGGTCCAGTTTTACACCTCCAACTAGCATCCCATCCATTGTCATGTCCCAGACTCTAAATAATCACCGGTTAACCACAATTTTAAACCAAAACCCGGTTAACCTAAACCAAACTGTAAGTATGTATAAAAATCATTTTCTCCTTTTTTTTTGTAGTACTATAGATTTGCAGATATTGTTATTTATTTTTGTTCTATTTATAATTAAATCTTTGAAGAATTTCATAGATTTGATATCATTTGTACATATCCAAAATGAATATATTACATGTCAATTGATGGATTTTATTTCATTATAAATAAATATTGGGAAAATTGAAAAAAAAAAGATATCTACTAAATTTTTTTGTCCGTATATACTTTTTTGGTAAAATTGTCACTTTTGACCAAACTACCCCTACACCCTATTTTAAACATTTTTTAAAAAAACTAATCACAAGAATAGGTAGATATACAAGAGTATAGATGATTTGAAGTGAAATTTTTTAGATTTGATTGGAAAAAAATTGATTTTTTGATAGATAAGGTTTCGTCTAATTTTGTTACAACATGTTTTCTAGAGTTCTGCGAAAGTTAGAGTGTGTATTCTACATTTTTATACATATTCTACGAATTTTAGACTAGTTTTTTGTTCTAAAAATTTTAGAAGTCCGAAAATCATATATCTAAAATATTTAGAACATGCATTCTACGCTCTACTCTATGTTCTAAATCTTTTTGAATACCTATTATACTAATTACTACATCTTCTGCCATCGTTAGAATTTGTAATCTTCTTTTAGAATGTAAATTCTACTATATTGTAGATTTGGTTTTCTGAAAATTTTAGAATTTTTTAAATATAGAAAGTAAATTTTCAGAAAAGAAAACTAAATATTTATTGTAGATTACGTTTTATATGGATATTAATTGTTTAGATTATGATCTACATAATTCAGAAATCGTTATCTATATTTTTTTAGAAAAAGTTAAAACCAAAATGTTTCTAAACCCTAAGCTAAGCCATCACTTTCGATTTCAAAATGTATGTAATTAACCAACTAGCCCAAAACAATTTAAACCGACATTTTCAATACAGTTAATTCCACATATTATCTCCTAAATAATGAAATCTTACAACTTACAATCTAACATAAATAGAAAAAAGAGAGGTTCAATTAACACTAGAAATGGAAAATATTATATCAAGAAGGACGATCTACCTAATTTACGATTGTTGTTACTTGTTACTGACTTACTGTACCTAGTATTGTCAAATCTTGGAACCGTTCTTGTTCTTGAAGCATTAGGATTAGCTCTAACATGACCCACCATTGAAACCGAAAGTGCTTCTTCTTCATAAGCTCTCCTCTCCATCTCCTCTCTCATCGTTTTCTTCTTCCCTTTCACTACCATCCCCACCACCAATAACCGTAACAGAAACGCTCCAATCATTGACCCAATCACATTTCCAACCGCCAATTTCCACCGGCTTAATTTCCCTCCGCCACCGTCCTTCACCGCCGGAGATGACGGTGGCGTTACCAACGTACTACCACGACCACTACTATCATGAGCTCTAATCACCAGCACATAGTGCCCTTGTCTTGTTCCCAAGCAGACAGAGGCTGAAACTTGCTTCCTAAACGTTGTTACCGTTACTTGTGAAGCAAGCACACAAGAGAGATGAGTTCTTCTTCGTGTTAGGTTTAGGGCTCCCACTAGCCACGCTACTTAAGAACTTGATCAAAATAAAGTTTTGTTTCGTGCCCATTATGTTAATCTCATAAGGATTCACAGCCACACCATACGGGTTCAAATTGTAAGCCAATAAACCAAGAACCAAAGACACGAACCCGTAATTGTAACCGATTTTGACTTTTTAGATTTCTATTTAATTTTTGTAAATAAATTAGGAAGTTTTATTTTATAAATCAATTTTAAATTAATTTTGAGAGAAAATGAGGGTAAAGTTGGGTTTTGATTTTTTAAAAAACCTATTTGACCAATCTACCAAAATAAGGTATATTTGGACAAAAATTTTAGTAGATATCTTATATAAAAGGCAATGCTTTCAAATTTTGATAGTTTAATTCCAATAATATGTGTCACATGTAGATATGAATTGCTCTAAAAGTTTAATCAAAAAGACAGAAAACACACACTTGCCTATTGCAAAACATTACTCCATATCTATATATATAGCTTCACCATCCTTAAACAAATCTCATAATCAATATTTCAAACATTTCCCAAGCAAAAATAAAAGATTAGAAATTAGATAGAAGGAGATACTAAGGTACAAGACATGAAGATGAAGTTCACTACATTAGTTTTCATCGCGTTTGTTCTGTCCTCCCTAACTCCGACTAAAGCAGAGGAGAAAGAGCCATGTGTCGTGACTGATCTTATAGCATGCCTGCCAGCAGTACAAGGCGGAAGCCCACCGTCGACAGAATGTTGCACAAAATTGAAAGAAAAGCAGTCGTGTTTTTGTGAGTACTGGAAAAGCCCATTGGTTGCTCCATATATGACATCTGCTAAACAAGTTTTAGAAGCTTGTGGAGTACCTGTTCCCGTTTGTCAAAGTTTTTAATATTTACAAAATAATTCTTAATGGTACAATTATCAAAATCACATGTTATAATGTTTATCATGTCATCGTTATATGAACCTACTTCAATACAGTAGTGTTCGTTTTCATATATATAGATCGTTTGATAAACTGATAACATAGTAACAATACAAAAAAAAAGACTTGGCCGTTTTCACATATTTTTCCACACTGAACGTTTTCTTGTTTCTCTTTTTGAACCATCATAATTTTCAAGTTTAGTATGAAAGTGAGAATTCAACTTGTCAAATTTTTAATATTTAATCAAATCTTTATTTGAAGGAAGACGAACTTCTTCTGATTCAATTTTCTCAAAAGCTTAAAAGCAAGGAAGACTAATAAAAATTTATGAAATGTTGGTTTCGTTTTATTTTTTAACAAAGAGAACAAGAACCGGTCCAGGAAGAGAATCGAACCACTAAAAACACTAGACTAAGAATATTCCTTGAATCACAAGAAAAGAAACCCTCAAAAATCTCTGAGGGAAAGCAACAAAGATAAACGATAAAAGATAAAAGCTGGTTCTTGTTCTCATTTCTGCTACTTCTTCAGTTGGATGGAGGGAAGAAAATGGCGTCTGAAGTCCTCTTTGATCGGAAGGACTTCTCCACCTCCGGAGCCACATTGAACGCCGCCTGCAAAACCTCAGGCGACAAAGCTTTCCACACTGATGTTTTTCCGGCCAAATGTGTGAAGATCGGACTACAAACACACAGAAACAAAGTTTCAAACATATTAGTTTCTTTCAATTTCAAAACTCAAAAAGTAAAGTGCAGAGAAAAGTTCTTACTCAGGAGTGGTGACAATGGAGAACCAAGACATGCCATCAGAATCAGCAATCTTAGAAACCACAAAGAACCTTGGAACAATGAAGAGAGAACCAGCTTTGATATGGGTCTCAAGAACTCTTTTCCCATCAGCACCAACCACCTGGACTCTTCCACTTCCACCCACAATGTAAGTCACCTGAAGAGCAGAGTCACAAGAGAAACCAGGCGAACACATGGAATGTCCATCAATCCTCACAAGATCAGCTCCAAACCCAACCTCTCCAACCAAAGGAAGGTTCTTGGTGTTCAAGACAACGACTCTGCCTCCATCCTTGATATCAACATCAAGAGGAGCCTCCAAACAGTTCAAGACAAACCCATCACGGTGCTCCTTCTTGGGCTGTGGCATCTTGACGCTCGCATCAAGCTTCACAATACCATTACCGGTTTGAGAACCAACAAGTTTCTTCACGGTGTTCTCATCAAGGTCCCAGGCTCTGCTTACAAACTCAGTGGAGAAACCAGTGAAGATACCATTTGAGCCAGTGAGATAGAACTCAGTGAACTGTCCTGCTTTGTGACCCTTGTGGGTTTCACCAAGGAAGAGGATAACAAGCTCAGCATCCTCGTTGTTGAACCACCATGTGACCACACCAAAGGGAAGAGCAATCGAATCGCCTTGCTTGATTGCGATCACCTTCTCCTCCTGCTCTGGGAGAACAATTCCAGCAGTTCCAGATCCTGAAACAGAATTTGAAAAAGTCAAATAAACAAGCTTTCAATTCCTTACACGCGAGGTTGATCAAATCAACGATTAAGACGTGATTAAGCAAAACAAAAACAGCAAAAGACAACTTTTTTCCTGCACACAGTAGTCGTGATCTATTTGACTATCATATTTTTCACTTTCTACAGATTTTTCAGAATCATACAAGAATAAGATCAGCTTAATAGATCACAGAATCAGCATCACAATAAACCAAATCAGAGTAGTCAATTTGCATGAATCACCATAAAGTTGACAACTTTTGAAGAAACAAAAGATCAGAACATAGAAAAGATCAAAAACCCTCAAAAGAAAAAACTTGATCGAAGCAGAGATATGAAATCGATCAAACCCATTATACAAAAACACATGGATCGCATTAAAGTCGACAACTTTCGAAGAAAATCAGGAAAAAAACGAACCTTGAAGAACATAAGCGACCTTGGAGGAATCAGAGTAACGAGGGATAGCGAAGCCATGCTTCTCAAGAGCAAGCTTAGCGGCTCCAATGTTACCCTGTTTGAGCATCGGCAACTCTTCTGGGCACCACGCAAAGTAAGATCCACCATCTCCTCCGTAAACCTTCTTCGGCAGCTTCGGTGAAAGATCCAACTCCATTTTTTCTCGACGATGGAAAAGAGTAAAGAACAAAAGGTTTTGGTAAAGGAGTAGTAAATTCTGATGTGTGATGTGAAAGAGATGCGAGAGACGTATATATATATATATAGGAGAGGCTTAGGGTGAATCCGTTACTAACAAAAGAGACTGATTCGGCGATAACAAAGCGTTTTGATTGCGTTACGATTTACTTCTGGATAATTCTCATTTATTAGTGTTTTTAATCCAAATTTTATCCATTTCTTTATGCCCACGATCTTATTAATTTATTTCGTTTCTATAATTTATTTATTTTGACTACCAAATAAAGATGCCTTTGGCAGAAGATAATTCTGTTTATCCATCACGTTCTTCGTTTTTTTCATATACTATTAAGACATTTCAATAATACTACTAAAAATGCTATATTATTGGTCAAATCGAATCATTAGAATATTTGTTATAAATATTTTCTCAATATATCACCATATTTCTTTCCAGTTTGCTGATTTTTAGATTATGTTTTCCTTTTTTGTTACCTTTAAGATAAGATTAAGGGATGAATTCAAAAATCTTATCTAATGTTATCGTACGTTTTTATCTAAGGTAATCGCTGATCATATATTTATTTTCTTATTCTTTTTAAGGATTATCCAGTAATATTTATTTAATCCAGACTGTTGTAAAATTTTATTTAATCCAACGAGCAACGTGAAGGATAAGTTGAAAGATTTATGTTAAGGATTAGTTTAACATGGTTAATAAATATGTGTTTAATTTTGGCTATTTCTAACGCTTAAGACTTAGGCCCATCAATGTCATTTGTTAAGGGGCTTTTTAGCAGAAAGCCAATCACATGCCCATGCAAAACAAAAATTGAAAAAGGAAAAAAAATCAATTGTGGCTGCTGGGATTCGAGCCCAGGTCTCCACGGCCACAACGTGGAATTCTTACCACTAAACTACAGCCACTTGAATGGCTACTCGGAACATATATTAAGTTTTAATTACAAATCCATCCTATTAGTACCATAATTAGTTAATTACAAAATGGCTGCAAGTCCCATCTGCATTAGACAACCGACCTAATTCTTGTATTTAATAGCACTTGCATAATTTATTGTTGGTGGAATGTTAATTTCTTTTCATGTAAACACAGACACAAAAATTGCTTTAAAACGATAAAAAAATACAAATCAGAACAATAGCACTTGCATAATTGATGGTTGGTGGAATGTTAATTTCTTTTCATGTAAACACAAACACAAAAAATTGCTTTAAAACGATAAAAAATACAAATCAGAACAACTCTAAGATTAGTAACGTGTCTCTTCCACTAGCTTGAGACAATGACTTGGTAAGAGCATACGCACGTTTTATATACAGAGAAGAATACATCTGAAACTGAAAAGAACTTTAATTGTACAAGGTCACAAATAAAGTGATAGTCGACCGCCACATGGTACAAACATTCTCATAATAAAAACCAGGACAGCTAATGGTAGAATGTTAATTGCTTAAAGTGTTTTTTTTTAAATCTTTGAACTGTATGTAAATATTTTAATTATCTATAAACTTTTGAACATGAAAGTGTTGTTTCAGAAAATGGAAACGTTGTGTTCGGTGAAGAGCCTACCAACATAACCTAATTCCCAAGTAAATAACAAAACTGAACCAGTTTTGGTAACCTCGTCAAATTGACAGATCCAACAGTTGGAAGCAACCCATGTTACTGGCCTTAATTATTTATGTCGACTTTAATATTCTAACAAAAGAGGGAAAAAAAAAAACAGAAGAAAATCAAAAGTAGTAATAATGGGTCTCAGGTCAGCTTAGTTAATGGTTCAAAGCATATGCTTTCGAAGATACTCTCTCAAATGACCACCTTTTTGGTCTATAAACCCAAAATGAAACGTCTCTCTCACTTGGCTTCTCCTTTGATGAGGTCGTAAAGGCCATCAACTATGGATGCTCCTTATCAAACCTTCCTCTCTCCCTCTTTTCTCTTACATATCTAAACACATGAAGGTACTTTCGAGCTCCCGGCAACGGAGAGAGATGAGATGGCGGTCAAGATTTGGCCGGAGAGGGAAGTGTGATCCGTAGACCATTTTCTAATAAGGTGTGATCCATTTTATGGGAGAAAACTAGAATTAGAAATTGGGCAACTATGTTCCTTTGGCAGTGTTCTTGTTTCTTGCTGTTCTTGAAGAGTTCTTTTTTTGTTTTCACGTTTCTTGATGATGATTCGACAGTTTTTGTGTCTTAAATATCTATACTTTCCCGCAAAATTGTATTAATCGATCCGTTGTTGTAATTTCCTCTACAGTTTATGTAGAAGGTTTCTTCGGTTAACAAAATTTAACAATTGACTTTTAATAACTTCTAAATGATTCTATGTCATACATAATCAGGTATAAGATTTCTAATGATGTTGAGGGTTTCCGTACTTCAGCTGGTCTAAATCGTATCGTTTGCTTTAAGCCGCACTGTATAGATAGGTAAACAAAGAATTTGGTCATTGCATAAGTGAACACAACATCACGTTCATGATTTTGTATATTAGAACTAATACTACATACATGAGTTCTTAATTCAAAAAAAATATCTATATGATGTATGTCCGCATCTTAGAGATTTGTTGCAGGTGAAAAGAGAAGGTAAGAGACTTTTGGAATAATTCAAGATTCAAATCAATCTTTTAGGGCTCCAAACCAAAAGGAGTAATTTAAAAACTATCCATCAAAGTTATCACAAAATTCGAAAGAAAGACAAAGGTAGTTTTAGAGAAAATGGAGGACAAAAGTTAAAAATAACTCAATGAAAATCTCTTTCCCCATAAATAAAACTTCAATAGAAGAAGCCGAGAACCTTGCCTCCTACATTCTTCCTTCTGGCTTCTTCATGGTCCATAATGCCAGCAGATGTAGTCAGCACGATGTACCCAAACTGCACAATTCAGTAGCATTAATACCATTCACGAGCCTTAAATTTTGAGACAAACTACTAACAGTGATGTATGCAGAGTGATTCTACGACATTTCCAAAGCTTGATCTTATAGTTTCTAAGGCCACTGTAACTAGAAAAGTGTATAAGAAGAGCGAACCTGTCTAGAAGGCAGTAAACGGGCAGTCCAACCTTCAATCTCCTTGACACCAACATCAAAACGTGGGCTGATAACACCACACTTGTTCAACCTTCCATTTAACTCAACAACGATCTTGCCAGATCTGTGGTCATCGACATACTCAAACTCGCCGATGTAACCTGCATTTGATTGGTAACCACACAGTTAAAGGAACAACACCTAGGGATCTCTATATATAAAAACTAGTGGGAAAATCATACCGTGCTTCTGCATGACAATCAGAAACTTGATAATCACTTTTGAGGAAGGCCTGATCATGACCTGCCTCTTGCCTCGTTTCTCAGCATTGTACATGCTCTTGAGAGCATCGTTAAGAACACTGATTCTCACCATCTTGCCTTAAGCTCAATCCTCTACTAAACAAGTCCAACAAGAAACAAGAGCTTGAGTTACAAAAAAAAAGTCAAATAACTAACGCAACAAAATCTACAAAGCACTTAGAATCTTAGCTTCTGATCTTGGTTCAAAACAAAAACGATCTTACTGAAAGTAGTTCATGACACAAATGCACAGAATTACGCATCATGAAATTGATTTCAATGGGAATAAATCAAGCTTTGAACATGTAAAATGAAATCACTTAAGGAAATTGAAACAAAGGGTCTCTTGGTTAAACTCCACAAAATTCACACACAGACAAAAACAAAGCTAAGACTGACTAATTCGCAAGCGTTCCTAAGTTCACCACATCAACCAAAAAATGCTCTTAAGATCCTAAATTCAAGACCTATTAGCAGCTATAGCTCACTTATGAATATTCTCTATGCAGATCAGACTCTGAGAAAGTATAGCGAAGACAATTGTACCGTAAGATTGGGAGCTCTAGAGGCTGGGGCACTCAGTGACGGAGAAAAGCAAATAGAGGAAGAAGAGAAGGTGTGCTAGGGTTTTCTTATCACCTTTTATACTAGAGAAAATAAAAGAAAGCAAATGAAATGTGTTATGCGCTGCGTTTTAAGCTCCATTTAAGGCCCAATGGGCTTCTTCGTCACGACCATTCAAGCCGTATCTCTCAGCCGTCAGATCTAATTTGAGAAACGATCAATCTAACGAAGGGTTAATATACACGTCAATGATCCTCGTGAAAAATTCTAATCCAATAAACTACGTTTGCTCCTTCTCTATAAAGTCTAAAAGCCTCGAGAAACCTATCATCACCATTCACCACTAAACTACTTCAACTTCCTTTTCCCGTGAAAATCAGAAACAAAATTCACCATGGCACCAAGAGCCGAGAAGAAGCCCGCCGAGAAAAAACCCGCGGCTGAGAAACCGGTGGAAGAGAACAAGGCCGCCGAAAAAGCTCCGGCGGAGAAGAAACCCAAGGCGGGGAAGAAATTGCCACCGACGAAGGAGGCCGGCGACAAAAAGAAGAAGCGATCGAAGAAAAACATCGAAACCTACAAGATCTACATCTTCAAGGTGTTGAAGCAAGTTCATCCAGATATCGGGATTTCGAGCAAAGCCATGGGGATTATGAACAGCTTCATCAACGACATCTTCGAGAAGCTAGCTCAGGAATCTTCGAAGCTCGCAAGGTACAACAAGAAGCCGACAATCACATCTCGCGAGATCCAGACGGCTGTTAGACTCGTCCTCCCCGGTGAACTCGCTAAACACGCTGTCTCTGAAGGTACCAAGGCGGTGACCAAGTTTACTAGCTCTTGAAGAGACCCGGTTAGGGTTTTCAGGGATTTCAATTTCGGTTTGGTTTTTAGTACTATCTAGGAAATTAGATGCTTCTCTGCTTAAAGTTCGTATTTTGTGGCTCTGTAAACTAGGAGGAAGAGATGATTGTTCCTTTTTATGAATTTCAATGATGAATTATATATTATAATGTTTTTTCTTTTCAATTTTACAATTGAAGATGTTGGAAATGTGTCTTTGGTGCATTAGTTAGTGTTTATTACACGAACAGAGTAATTGCGTCAATGCTGTTGCTTTCTTACATTCCTTAACGAACAGAGTCCAATTTTGATATGATTGGAGACATTTAAATGGATAAATAGAAGATTAGTTGTTGAGTTCACCTATCGTAATCGTCGTGTCACAAGCAGGCTATAAGCATCAGATTTAGGTGAACCCACTTAAATTCAGTGATGGGTTTTTGGTGAACCAAGATAAAGCATAAATCACTGTCATTACTCCATAATCATATAATAAAATTTCTTCTGGAACGAGTCTGAAATTTCTGAACAACCAAATAATACAGCCTTTAATTAAACAAAAATTGTTATTGCTGAAAACGTGGGAGTGTCAAAGGGGGAAGGAGAAGACCCGGAAAGGAAGGGCAAAGATAAGAGAAGAGAAGAGTTCAAAGGGAAGGGCAACTACGTAATTAATAACTGTGTGTGTGTGTTTCTATGACTATGAGAAAGAAGAGTAGTTAGTTAAACGTGCAAAGAAGCAGCCTTTCCATTTTCATTTCCGTTTCCAAACACACACATATAAACCGCACCAATCAAACAAGCGTTGGTTTTGCTCATCGATCTCACAATCTTTTCGTTTTCTCGCAAGCAACACCTAATTTCTTTTGATCCACGCTAAAACAACCCCGTTTCTTCTGATCGAGATGTATCACCGTCTTCCGTCGTTAATGGAGCCGTTTCTCCGGAGAGTCTCTGACCGTTGGCCGGTCATCGCTCAGGCTGCCACGTGGACGGTGCTTCTCATGTTTACTGTTGCGGTCGCTTCGTTTGCTCCGGAGATGGCGTTTGTGTCGACGGTTTCGTCTTCTTGCGGAGGAGGAGATGGGTTTGTGAAGATTCCGATGGACTTTGCAGGGGAGAGTATATGCGTGCCGGCTAACATGGTGAAGAGATCACGTTTTGATTTGTTTGTGCCTTCGATTTTCGCGGCGGTTATGGTCACGGCTTCGGCTTGTTTGATCCGATCGTGTATTGGCACGGAGAATGTGGATGATTTTTAATAACTTGTAATTATTTATTACTAATAATTTTGTATTCAGTTGTTACATAACATTCACCATTTCTTTTTCTAAATTCAGACATTCTAAGCTGCGTCGTAGAATATTTGATAAAAATACTAGAGACTATACCCGACAATTTGTTCTGTTATGTTATGTACGACTTATAATCACGACTAAACAATAAAATGAAACTGTATAGAAACGACTTGAGCACAAAAAAAATGGTATCGACAATCTTGAGATTTTGCCATCATCCGGTTTTATATCAAATTAACTTATTTTATTTATAAACATTTTAACCAAAACGTTTCGGACCAAGACTAATTTCTCGATTGTGGATAACAAATTCATGACAATATATATGTCTAATAAAATTTATAGGCCCAAAGAAGAAGACCCATATTAGCATGAGTAGTAGTAGAACTCATACTGAAATAGTGGACCATTGGGCTTCAACAGCATCTTTTTGAATCACCAGTTTTAATAAAAAGAGAATTTATCAGAGAGACGTCAGAGAACGTCCCTGCGATAGCTTGCAGCGGGAAGTTTCTTTCTCTCTAGCCCCGCGGATTTGCTTTGGTATGTTACTTCCACAATCTTCAACTCCATTGATTGTTTCCTTGATTGCGATTTTCTCCTACCATGTAATCGTTCTTTTGATTCAGATCTAAATTTAAGCTCATCTTTGAATTTTAGTCTGGGACTGAGATTCTCTCTTTAGATTCGTCGATCCAGTCTTCATCCTTCATAGTTTGTTTGAGATGATAATGATGATGATGTTTCAGTTTAATTATTTAGTTTCTTAGAGTGAAGTTTTTATAATTTCTCAGTAATTCAGAGGATCTATCATGGATATTTTCGTTCTCAAAATAATTTACTTTTTTTTTTTAATAGTTGCAGTCGAACCTTAAGCTTTGGCGATTTTCCGGGAGAATTTGACGAATCTGTTTTGCTACGAGTGGGAATTCATGGGGAAAGGATCAGAAGACCTTGTGGAGAAGGAAAGCTTAAATTCTACACCCGTAAATTCGGATACGTTTCCTGCTTGGGCTAAAGATGTTGCGGAATGCGAAGAGCATTTCGGTGTTAGTCGTGAGAAAGGGTTGAGTACTGATGAGGTGTTGAAGCGGCATCAGATCTATGGTTTGAATGAGTTAGAGAAGCCTGAGGGTACTTCTATTTTTAAGTTGATTTTGGAGCAGTTTAATGATACATTGGTTCGTATTCTTTTGGCGGCTGCCGTTATTTCCTTTGTCTTGGCCTTCTTTGATGGCGACGAAGGTGGTGAGATGGGTATCACCGCATTTGTTGAGCCGCTTGTTATTTTTCTCATCTTGATTGTTAATGCCATTGTTGGGATCTGGCAAGAAACTAATGCTGAGAAGGCATTGGAAGCTTTGAAGGAGATTCAGTCTCAGCAAGCGACTGTCATGCGTGATGGGACTAAGGTTTCCAGTTTGCCTGCTAAGGAGCTTGTTCCTGGTGACATTGTGGAACTGAGGGTTGGTGATAAGGTGCCTGCTGATATGCGTGTGGTTGCTTTGATCAGCTCAACTCTGAGGGTCGAGCAAGGTTCCTTAACAGGAGAGAGTGAGGCAGTGAGCAAAACCACCAAGCATGTGGATGAGAATGCTGATATTCAAGGAAAGAAATGCATGGTGTTTGCAGGAACCACTGTTGTGAATGGGAACTGCATATGCTTAGTTACAGACACTGGGATGAATACTGAGATTGGAAGGGTTCACTCACAGATCCAGGAAGCTGCACAACATGAGGAAGATACCCCTCTGAAGAAAAAACTTAACGAGTTTGGGGAAGTTCTGACTATGATCATTGGGTTAATTTGCGCGTTAGTGTGGCTCATCAATGTCAAATACTTTCTGTCATGGGAGTATGTTGATGGCTGGCCCAGAAACTTTAAGTTCTCCTTCGAGAAGTGCACATATTACTTTGAGATTGCTGTAGCTTTGGCGGTTGCTGCTATTCCAGAAGGTCTGCCAGCAGTTATCACCACATGTTTGGCTCTTGGTACAAGGAAGATGGCTCAGAAGAATGCTCTGGTTAGGAAGTTACCCAGTGTGGAGACTCTTGGATGCACCACCGTGATATGCTCTGATAAAACTGGAACTCTGACAACCAATCAGATGGCTGTTTCAAAGCTCGTCGCTATGGGTTCGAGGATCGGAACTCTTCGATCTTTCAATGTTGAGGGGACCTCGTTTGATCCTCGAGATGGAAAGATTGAAGATTGGCCAACAGGTCGGATGGATGCAAATCTTCAGATGATTGCCAAAATTGCTGCCATTTGCAACGATGCTGGTGTTGAGCAATCTGAGCAGCAATTTGTGTCTAGGGGAATGCCTACTGAGGCAGCTTTGAAGGTAAAACAGTCTACTACACTAGCTTGCACCTTTCTTTTCTTAACTAAATTGACTAAAAAGACCTATTCTGTTCGTTGTCCTCCAATTTCTATTGGTGTTTGTTTCCTTGAGCAGGTTTTGGTTGAGAAAATGGGATTTCCTGAAGGATTGAATAAAGTTCCGTCAAATGACGATGTCTTAAGTATGTATTCTGAATCATAGTTGTGACTCATGTTTGTAGATTTTTACAGATTCTAAACTCATGTATTGTACCTTTTTAACATTATTGAAGGTTGTAGTCGGCTATGGAGTGAACTAGAGCAACGGATTGCCACTCTTGAGTTTGACCGCGATCGGAAATCAATGGGAGTTATGGTGGATTCCAGCTCAGGAAAGAAACTGCTACTGGTCAAGGTCTGTTTTTCATCATTTAGAATGTCTACGATTATGTGGCTTGTTCTAATGTTCTTTGGTTCTCATGGATGCATATTATTAGTCGAGAAAACAATGTTCCCCTTTTTCAGCATCTAATTGACTGATTTTGAATTTTTCAGGGTGCGGTAGAAAATGTATTGGAAAGGAGTACACGTATTCAGTTACTTGATGATTCTGTTCAAGAACTTGACCAATACTCAAGGGATCTTATTTTACAAAGCCTACGTGATATGTCCTTAAGTGCATTAAGATGTCTTGGATTTGCGTACTCAGATGTTCCATCCGATTTTACCACTTACGATGGCAGTGAAGACCATCCTGCTCACCAGCAACTTCTCAACCCGTCCAATTATTTTTCTATCGAGTCCAATCTAACATTCGCTGGCTTTGTAGGTTTAAGGGTGAGTCACGGTCACCATGATATTTTTTGCTCTTTCTGCTTCCTCATTAATAGTTATTCATGCTCTACCTTTTCAATGATTGAAGGATCCTCCGAGGAAAGAGGTGCGCCAAGCCATTGCAGACTGCAGAACAGCAGGTATTCGGGTCATGGTCATCACCGGAGACAACAAGAGCACAGCGGAAGCAATCTGCCGTGAAATTGGCGTATTTGAAGCAGATGAAGATATTTCCTCGAGAAGCTTGACAGGAAAAGAATTTATGGATGTTCAAGATCAGAAGAATCATCTAAGACAGACTGGAGGGCTCTTGTTCTCAAGGGCTGAACCAAAACACAAACAAGAGATTGTCAGGTTACTTAAAGAAGATGGAGAAGTAGTTGCCATGACTGGAGATGGAGTCAATGATGCTCCTGCCCTGAAGTTGGCTGATATTGGTGTGGCTATGGGCATTTCCGGCACAGAGGTATTGTGTCTCTTCTCTCATCTTCAACCACGGATGATAATAACTCTATCAGCTTTCTAGAGCTCTGGGCATTTTGTAGGTAGCAAAGGAGGCATCTGACATGGTGTTGGCAGATGATAATTTCAGCACCATTGTTGCAGCTGTTGGTGAAGGCAGGTCCATCTATAACAACATGAAGGCCTTCATCAGGTGAGTCTTTCAATATTACGTAGATATATATACCCATCTTTGCATTGGTGGCTTGAGTTATAAATATTAATCTGACTATGATGAATGAATAAAAGGTACATGATCTCTTCCAACATCGGCGAGGTTGCATCGATATTCTTGACAGCTGCTCTGGGAATCCCAGAAGGCATGATCCCGGTTCAGCTTCTGTGGGTGAATCTTGTAACAGACGGTCCTCCAGCTACGGCTCTGGGATTCAATCCCCCTGACAAAGACATCATGAAGAAGCCTCCTCGTAGGAGTGATGACTCTCTTATAACTGCCTGGATCCTCTTCCGCTACATGGTATTCAAAAACCGATTTGTATCACTTGTTCATCTTCTGGGGCTTTTTCTAACTGACTATTATGGGTACCTACCTACAGGTGATTGGTATGTATGTGGGAGTAGCAACGGTGGGGGTATTCATCATATGGTACACTCACAACAGCTTCATGGGAATAGACTTGAGCCAAGATGGCCACAGCCTTGTGAGTTATTCACAGCTTGCACACTGGGACCAATGCTCTTCGTGGGAAGGCTTCAAAGTGTCTCCTTTCACAGCAGGCTCTCAGACTTTCTCATTCGACTCAAACCCATGCGAGTACTTCCAGCAGGGTAAAATCAAAGCATCTACACTCTCCCTCTCGGTGTTGGTGGCCATTGAAATGTTCAACTCTCTGAATGCACTCTCAGAAGACGGCAGCCTGGTAACAATGCCGCCGTGGGTGAACCCGTGGTTGCTCCTGGCAATGGCGGTCTCATTCGGGCTCCACTTTGTGATATTGTACGTCCCATTCTTGGCTCAAGTGTTTGGTATTGTGCCGCTGAGCTTGAACGAATGGCTGCTAGTGCTGGCTGTGTCTCTGCCGGTGATTTTGATAGATGAAGTGCTCAAGTTTGTAGGAAGGTGCACCAGTGGCTACCGCTACTCACCCCGCACTCGCTCCGCTAAGCAAAAGGAGGAGTAAGAAAATAATTCAAAAGGCATTATTATTAGACTGTTAGTTTTAGCTGAAATTAACTTTGTTGCTTTACTCAGCCTTGCAGTTTAATTCTCTAAACGATAATTTTTGGTTTGATGAAAAAATGTTTCTAACTTTGGTTCATGGACATGGCCACAAGGGTATTCCAACACAGCCCGTAATAGAAAGATGAATGTTTCAACCAAACCTTGAGTCTTTATACTTGTAAACTTTTATGGTCGACCAATTTGGGTTTTCGTTGGAAGAATGATTAATGGACAATTTATTTTGGGTAAAATTTCTATCAGATGAGAGATACACAATCAATCTCTTTTTTCCCTGTGAGAGAAATCCGTATCCTCTGCTGGATACATTTTCTGCAATAAAACTGACTGCTTCCAAGTCTATGATACCATAGAACATCTTGCAAAATGAACTCATAGCAGATTCGACGCTAGTTTGGCTTGAAAGAATTTGCAGCTGCTTCCCATAGAAGATGGAGAATTAGAGTTAGCTGATTGCTTTCAACAAACATTTTGTTTAGTGCCAAATCCGAAGAGGGAGAGACAAAGAAAAAGAACAAATGGATCACTCGCATTAGATTTTCTTAGCAGAAAGTTTGCAAAGATTTTGAACTAGTACATCACATTGGCTAACAACAACAACAACAAGAAGAAAAAAACGAACTAACTCCTGGATTTACTTTTTGACTAATCAAACCTAAAACACACATCTCAGAAACAAGAAATTCCCAAACTTGCTAATCTCCAGATTAACCGCCGAAACCGTAGAGAGTGCGTCCTTGCCTCTTCAAAGCGTAGACAACATCCATGGCAGTCACCGTCTTCCTCCTGGCGTGCTCAGTGTAGGTAACGGCGTCACGGATGACATTCTCGAGGAAGATCTTGAGGACACCTCTGGTCTCTTCGTAGATGAGACCACTGATACGCTTGACACCACCTCTGCGAGCAAGACGACGAATGGCAGGCTTGGTTATACCTTGAATGTTATCCCTCAGAACCTTCCTATGCCTCTTCGCTCCTCCCTTTCCCAATCCTTTTCCTCCCTTTCCTCTTCCTGACATCTCTTCACACTTTCACTTGATACCCAAAGATCTGTGAAGATGAACAAAAGAAATTTTTTTCAGCAAATGATAATCAACAGAAACCCTAGATTTTCCAGAGCAATCAATTGAATTGAGAATCGAACATTAAACCAACAAGCAGAAGAAGAAGTAGATACCTTGAGATAATTTGATTTGGAGAGAAGAGTAATCGAATTTGACGATATGAAATTGCCAATCAATGTCTTAATATATAAAACAGAGATGATCCGTGTGATTCTCATACGGACCGTTGATTATTTGATCCAATGGCTGTTACATTGTTAACAGTAATAGATGGATCGCTGACGTGGATTTCTCACGATTTAACATTGCTAAAAAAAAACACATAATTCGTCTTTGGCAGTTTTATTGGGCCCTAAAGAGAGAAAGAAATCTGGCCCCATAATAGTCTCAATACCACTCAGAGTTAGTTATTGGGCCCTAAAAGTTGCGTCTCCGTAAACCTGTTGCTCTCGGAAAAACGTTCAGAGAGGGTTTTCCATTCTCTGTGGCCGTCACCGTCGCCGTAAACTTGCTCTCTGTTCTGTATCTCCGGTGAGTTCTTATTTCTTCTTTTGCGAGAGATTGTGATTTTCTGTGTAGAAGATCTCTTACTTCTTTGGAAGCCTGAGAATTATATACAACATTCCATTAACATTTTACCAATTTGTTATCCAGTCTCGATCTCTTTCTAATTGTTGTTGATGATCTTTGGTTGGTCAGATTAGATAACTGAAAGCTCAAAGGGAATTGTTGTTACAATGTTTCTTACGCGATTTGTCGGGAGGAGATTCTTGGCGGCTGCATCGGCGAGATCGGAGTCCACTACTGCAGCAGCTGCCTCAGCGATTCGGACGCCCCAAAATCCACTCGAAGAGTTCTTTGAGTTTGACAGAAGCCAGGATGAAGATAAACCTGTTGTCTACGGTGCGTTCTTTTGTCATTTTCATTTTGGTAGACTTTATTCTTATGATACTCCAAAATTTATCAAATGTGTATTAAAGCTGATTTGAGGTAACTTATCTCTGCTTAATGCTAGTTTACATTGTTTTCCCAAATCCAGGCTCTTAGCTACTTGTGGATTGTTCATATAATGTACTAAGTGAACAAGTAAAGTAATTCAATGTAGCTTAGGATTGTAGTCAAGCCTGCTAATCGTTCGTTTGTCTTCTTAACTTGGTTATCCTCTTATGCCATGGAATATTTGGATTTAAGGATTGTTTTGTTTTGTTAATGGGGGAACATGTGTAATGATTTGGTGTTAGGTCGAGGTTGGAAAGCTTCAGAACTGCGTCTCAAGTCATGGGATGATCTTCAGAAGCTGTGGTACGTTCTTCTCAAAGAGAAAAACATGTTGATGACTCAGCGTCAGATGCTTCAAGCCCAGAACATGCAGTTTCCAAACCCTGAACGCATTCCAAAGGTAATGATACAAAGTTGCCTTCATTCAACTCTCTCTATTCAATTAAGTTGTTGACAAATTGATAGAAACTATGAGAAGAAACATGAATCCTTTCTTCATGGAATGGTTATGTTCTTTATTACCAAAGGAGAAGATTATTATTTAATGAATGTCAACTTTTGTTTGCATCTCAATTTATAGGTGAGGAGATCAATGTGCCGCATTAAGCATGTGCTTACAGAGAGAGCGATTGAAGAACCAGATCCTAGAAGATCAGCCGAGATGAAGAGAATGGTAAATGGTATGTGACCCATTGGCTCTTGTTTTGGCAACCTAGCAGTAAGCTCGAGTCTATTCGCAGAGGTGTCTAGTTTTTGGGAGTAAGAAATAACGCAAGAGGTTGAAGAAGACTTGGTATTTTGTCCTTTTGGAGCTGGTCTAGTGATTGTCATTGTAGTGTCTGGCAGTAGAAAAATGTTTGGTGGTATCTATATAAACATTCCTGTAACCTATGGTTGATGTTTCTTTTTAAGACACAAGTTGGTCAGTTGATTCAGAGCTTTGTCTTTCTCCTAAGAGTTAAGACCAACACAAACGGGAGAGAAAGATATACGGCTATTTATGTGGCGTTTAGGTGATATTATTGTTGAACCGAGGAGAATCAAAGCATTAGCTGGAGGAGACTGAACAAATAAGAACGAAACAAAATATAATCTGATTATTCGATTACAAAAAAAAGAAGAAAAAAAAGCTGTCGAAACTGATTTAACAAAATGAATAACCACCGAAATTGCGCGAAATCATTGGATAATAATAATTGGGCCCGAGTGCTAATTGGGCCCAAAAGCTAATTGGGCCCTAAAATTAGTTAGGAGGGAGAAAGAATCTCGCGTCTCCATAAACCTTTTTATCGTCGGGAAATCGGTAGAGAGGGTTTCGATTGATTTTCCTTTCTAGCCGCCGTGACCTTTTCTCACGTTGCTCTCTGTAGCCGTCAATTTCACTATCTCCGGTGAGTTCTTACTTCGTCGTGTCTGTTCCGCTGCTAGATTATGTGTACCGACAACCACTGAGCTCGATTAATCGAGGTCAACACGGAGAGATAGTTGCTCGCTCTGTTTGTGGAATATTGATTAGCATTTTTGGTTATCGTGAATGTTGGTTTCTATGAATTAGTTTATCAATCTATCTGAGGATTTTTATCTGGTATTCAAATTCGAAGGGTTAGTCTCTCAACTTTTAGGTTTGTTTTCCATTTTTGTTCACAGACTTATCTTCTGCCAAGTTCTGAACAAGAATCATGGAGGAGATCACCAAACCTGTCCTTGTTGGAATAATTAAGAAGTGAGTTATTCTTATCCCATCATGAAATTGTTCTCTGTTTTAGCCCCAAGAAAAAAGAAGAGTATAGCTTGAATAACCAATGAATCACTTCAATTCTCACAATCAAAAGTAAAAAATAAACTTGTGTGTTTAGATATATGCCTCATGTTTTAACTCGTCTCGTTTTGTTATTGTAAATGTCTCAGAGAAGCTCCACAGCTAGCATCCGTGTTGAGAGATATGAAGAATGGTCTAGATGGGGTTAGAAGCAAAGTTGAAGCTCTGACTGCAATGGTACGTAATCTGGTAACATGTTATTGGATTCTACTTTACTAACATCAATTTGGTCTCGTCTGTAACATGTGTTGTTTCAACTGGGTATAAGTAGAGTTGATGACTTTAATGTAAAAGAACAATTTGCTTCTCCTTGAGGATTTAACCAAATTATTGTATGTCGGTTACCATTCAGAGATTCAATGGGTCATTCATGACATCCTGACTTTCTTAATTTTGCAAATCGTAGGTAAGAGCAAACAGTTTTCCGACAGCGGATGGGATAAGTTATCTTGAGGCCAAGCATCTGTTACTTCTAAGTTATTGCCAGGATATTGTATATTATCTGCTAAGGAAAGCAAAAGGATTATCTATTGATGGCCATCCTGTTGTAAGAAGCCTTGTAGAGATACGAATGTTTCTGGAAAAGGTTTGTATCTCTGTCTTTGTCCACTTTATACCACCAACAACAAGTCATGGAGTAATAGTTTAGCTGTTTTTCTTTTGTGTAGATTCGTCCCATAGACAAAAAACTTCAGTACCAGATTCAGAAGCTCACCACAGCCGGTGGGTCTGTGACAGAGCTAGCTCAATCCGATGGAAAGGGATCGGGTGATGCCCAAAAATCTGAAGATCTTTCAAATTATAAGCCTAAACCAGACTTACTTGCTGACAAAAATGGGGATGACCAAGAGGTGAACCTTACTACCCCCCAACACTTGTGAGAAATATGTTGCATGTTATTATCATTAACCTGTTTGTCTGTGTAAATGTAGGATGATGTTTATCGACCCCCGAAATTTGCTCCTATGTCTATGGATGATAAGACGTCAAAACAGGAAAGAGATGCTGCCAGAAAAGAGAAACACTTATTAAGAGAAGCCACTGGAAATACATACATGAAAGATGTGTTGGACGATCTGGAGGACAGGCCTGAAGAGGTGGGTTGGAAGGAAATTACTTTGCAGTTGATATGCGTAGAGATTAATTTCATGTTCGAACTAAATGGGTGAATGAATATGAACAGATCAGGGACTATTATGGGGTTGCGAGCAATGAGCAGAAGAGGTTTATGGCACAGTATGAAAGGCAACAACGGGCAGAAGAAGAGCTGTTTACCCGGGCACCTCGCAGTAAAGAGGATAAGAAGAGAGAGAAGCGCTTGAAATCAAGCAGCGGGTACGTGTTTGCTTTGGTTGGAAACTGAAGTGTATGATATTCGATTGGTCCTTATGTGATGATATGAACTCATGTTCAATTGAATCAGGTTGCTTGAACTGACCGAAGACTTTTACGATGACATCAAGTTCTTGGATAAGGATGGTGAAAAGCCAAGCTTTGGCCGTAATAAAAGGGGAGGACAATTCAAGAAAAGAAAGGTAATTCATTCTTTTTTTACTATTATTGGGTTTCTCAAATACTTTAACTGTATTATCAGTTTTTTTTTTGTATTTTTTTTTCCAGTTTCTTCTTTGTTTGACAATGTATTGTTGAATTTTCGCAGACAAGGCACTGATATGGATACACCAGTGGTTCCTTTAGCTGCTTCAGTGCACCAATTTTGTTGCCAAGAAAAAGATCCAAATTTTCGATTTGCTTTTATGATCCTAGTTAAATGTTGAAAGTGGTGAAATGTGAGAACTCAGTTATCAGTTTTAGTATTGGTTCATGGTCATGCTCTTGCAGTAAAATTCGGAAGAGACCTTTTCTCTTTAGCTAAATTTAGCTTGTTACCACTGAAACTTCGTTATCATTTTTAAAAAGAGATGTACCCGAATCTGACTGAAAACAAAAAAGAAAACAAAAGATAGTAAGTATCAATCTCTTTCTTCTCTCTTCCCATTAGCCATGGGAAACAGTTCGAGCTACAACACCAATCTGAGCAATCCTAAGAACAGACTTCTAGAAGATCATCACCACCCAAGAAACCAGCCACCAAACCACAGCAACTCTGCTCGGTCCTCTCACCTAAGCTTCTTACGATCTCCTCTGCCATGGCTCTTCATTTTCCTCTTCTTCCTCCCTTTGCTTCTCATCTCTACCACGGGAGGAGGTGGCGGACGCAAGACCTGCCGTCCCTCTTCTTCTACCTATAGCCACCTGTCCCTTGTCGACAAAACAAACTCTTCTTCCTCTGTTGTTTCTGAGGAGGAAGAAGACGACAATGTGCCTCCACGCGTCCCCGCTCTTTACCCACAGCGACCAAGGATGTTCAACACGACGCTTGATCACATCGTTTTTGGGATCGCCGCGTCCTCTGTTCTGTGGGAGACAAGAAAAGAGTACATCAAATCATGGTGGCGACCTGGTAAGACTCGAGGCGTAGTCTGGATTGACAAGAGAGTCCGAACTTACCGAAACGATCCTCTTCCCGAAATCAGAATCTCCCAAGACACCTCACGTTTCAGGTACTTTACTCTCCATCTCTACAGTATCTGAAGTGTTTTACAAGAAACCTTATTCAAATCAAGATGTCATGTTTTAGGTACACGCATCCGGTAGGGGACAGATCGGCAGTGAGGATATCTCGGGTAGTGACAGAGACGCTACGGCTAGGCAAAAAAGGTGTACGGTGGTTCGTGATGGGAGACGACGACACAGTGTTTGTGGTGGACAATGTGGTAAACGTCCTTTCAAAGTACGACCACACTCAGTTCTACTACGTTGGTAGCTCCTCTGAGGCTCACGTTCAGAACATCTTCTTCTCATATTCAATGGCATTTGGAGGCGGTGGATTCGCCATTAGCTACGCTCTAGCCCTCGAGCTCTCGCGGATGCAGGACCGTTGCATCCAACGGTATCCTGGTCTCTACGGCAGTGATGATCGCATCCAAGCCTGTATGACCGAGCTCGGCGTACCCCTCACCAAAGAACCTGGCTTTCACCAGGTGTCGTCATTTTCTAATTTTCCTCTTATGTTTAATCCATTTTAAGATTTTTGTTCATTATTTCAGTGTGGTTTCGGTTCCGATCAGAACGGTTTATATGGATTGAATTCGTCTAATTTTAGTGTTTTTATGTATGCAGTATGATGTTTATGGGGACTTATTGGGGCTATTAGGTGCACACCCGGTGGCTCCTTTGGTGTCGCTGCACCATATCGACGTGGTGCAGCCGATATTCCCGAAGATGAAGCGCTCACGTGCGCTCCGACACTTGATGTCGTCAGCAGTTCTTGACCCAGCCAGCATATTCCAGCAGTCCATCTGCTACGACCAGAACCGGTTCTGGTCCATTTCGGTCTCATGGGGATTCGTAGTCCAGATAATCCGAGGCATCATTTCCCCTCGCGAGCTTGAGATGCCTTCACGAACATTCCTCAACTGGTTCCGCAAAGCCGACTACATTGGTTACGCGTTTAACACGAGACCAGTATCGAGACATCCGTGCCAAAGACCATTCGTGTTTTACTTAAACTCAGCTAAGTATGATGAAGGACGTCGCCAAGTAATTGGATACTACAACTTGGACAAGACAAGGCGGATTCCAGGCTGCCGATGGAGGCTTGATTCGCCTGGCAAGATCGATTCAGTCGTCGTTCTCAAGCGACCTGATCCCCTCCGATGGCACAAGGTTAGTCCACATTGCTTCATTTATTAACAACTTGCATCAAATTTAGTCATACCGGTTCGTTTTTGGAATTACATGAAATTTGACAGAGACAACCGGCTGAGATCAGATAATAAACTGGTTTTAAAATAACATGATCTTAAAATTTTGTGTTTGCAGTCACCGAGGAGGGATTGTTGCAGAGTATTGCCGAGTCGGAGAAACCAAACGATGTATATTTGGGTCGGAAATTGCGCAGACGGAGAGATCAGTGAGCTCGAACATCCTCAGCATTAGCATTCAGATATACTCACTGAAGATTTCTTCAAATGACTATGCAGATCTTTTTGGAAACATTCTGTGTATTGTTCACAAACAATTTTCAATCCTAAATGCAAAACTATTGTTTCAATCTGAACTCACCAAAACACTCTTATACAAAGAAAAAAATCTCAATTCCTAAAAATCTCTGTTCATGAAAGAAATCAGTAAGAAACTGAAGGAAGATTCGCATCGTGAAGAAACTTTTCTCCGGTCAGAGATCAGACGGCGTGTGGCTGCTTTGCTTTGTTCACCGATTGAGTGGCGTTTTGCTGCGATTGGGTTGCGTTTTGCTGCGATTGGGTTGCGTTGTGAGGAGTTGTCAGATTTTGATTGGTAGAGACGACGAGACCTGAGGCTGGTGAAACAGCAGAGGAAGCAAGAATCGCTAAACTGACATGAGACTCGTTTCTCACGGCCATGGATTTCTCGAGACGATGTATCGACATTATCTCTCCATCGTTCATGACGCTCACTGTGAATAAACCCAATCAAAAACAAATATCAGAAAGATTCTTGACCCATTTTCTCGGGAAAATCGTTCTTGAATCCAAAAACAAAAAGCGAGAAAGATTAAAGAATTAAGGAACCTGAGTGGGAGAAAATCCAAAGGGTGAAGAAGCAGAGAAAAACGATCACGGGAATTGCGTGGATCCAGTACTCCGATACCGGAAAAATCCCTCTCCGCGAGTTCTGCGTCTTCCTGCCAATGTGAGAAGAAGAGATCGGGAGCTGAGAGAATGATCTTTCCGCCATTGTTGTCGTATCTTGTAGTTTCTCTTTCAAGAATCACAAAACCAGTAGAGAGAGAGATAAGAGAGATTTGTGAAGCCTTCTTGGATTAGTTTTGGTTATTTAACGGCAAAAATCCTTAACGGGTTCACGCGGGAAAAGTTGCATCACGTGATGTGAAGTGATCATAGTCCCATTTATTTTACATATTTACGACTTTTGCCATTCATCATTACGATTTTTTATACATAATCTCATTTACCAGAATTTTATGTCCAAAGATGTTTGTTTTTGTTCAATATATGTATATATGTCCCAAAACAAAATGGTTTTTTTTTTTTTTTCTACAGAACAGAAACATTCTACGTACAAAGAAGCCGAGTCAAGAAGATTTACATCCACAAGAGATGTTAAAAATGTACCTGAGTTGATTTTATATTTTTTCCCCAATTTCTTGGTGAAGCCAAAACTAGATTTGATTTTTTACCATTCTCTTATTGGATCTCCTATGAAGATCCTTCATATTCGGTTTCCTTGACGAGGTCCGGTCTTTTCTCTTCATCATCTCTATCTCTGTGAAAGGAAGGGTTCTTCCTGCTGCTGCTGCTAGGGCTATTCGGATCGTATTTCGAAGAGGCTAAGAAGTTGAGAGCCGATACTACATCACATACCACTGGTCTCATACTCGGCTGCTCTTGAACGCACATTGCTGAAATTGCTAGTGCTTGGTAAAGTCCTCTAACCGGGTATTGTCCCTGAAGCAATGGATCAACCATTTTCGGGAAGTTCCTCCTGTCTTTGAACAACGGTCGTGCCTGTTAAAAAACCCGTGAAAAAATGAGTGTTGTTTTCCAGTAAAGATTATTATGAGACAAAGCCAAGAGACAGAACATACCCATCCAACCAAATTTTGATCTTTACGCGTTTTTGTATTGTCAATTGCTTTCCTTCCGGTGATAAGCTCGAGAAGGACGACTCCAAAACTGTATATATCGGATTTAAATGTGAGCTGACCAGTCATAGCGTAGTCAGGAGCACAGTATCCGTATGTTCCCATAACCCTTGTGGAGACATGGGTTTTATCCCCACTTGGTCCTACTTTGGCCAACCCAAAGTCAGATAGTTTCGGTTGATAGTCTTCACCAAGCAAAATATTCGAACATTTAAGGTCTCGGTAAATCACTGGGGGCGTCATTCTGTCATGTAGATACTGTAAACCTCTTGCTGCACCAGCTGCTATTTTCATCCGGGTGTTCCAATCAAGAGGTTTTTTACCAGAAGGGAGATCTTGAAACAGTCAAAACAACAGTAAAAGTTAGATAAACAACAAAGCAAGTACTGAGGTTTGAGAGAAAAGGGAAAGCTGAGTGACAAACAATACAGAGGCAAAGGATAGGACTTTTGATCTTAGAACATACCATGTAGATGATCTTCAAGAGATCCTTGCGGCATGTACTCGTAGACCAATAGTCTCTGATCACCCTCAGCACAAAACCCAATAAGCTTCACGAGATTCGGATGGTCAGCAAGACTTAGAGTCAGTACCTCAACAACAAATTCCCTGATACCTTGAACCCCATTACGGTCAAGTTGCTTGATCGCAACAACCTAGCAGAACCAAGTTTCACCAACCGTTCAAAACTATGACAAATCACAGCCAATTGATCAAAGAAGATAGGATTTTTTTTGTGCAAGTACCTGATCCAATTTCTCTATAGTTCCCTTGAAAACTTTTCCAAAACCTCCTTCACCTAGAAAACAATCCGATCTAAAGTTTCCAGTAGCTACTGCAAGTTCTTGAAAGGTAAAAGTCTGTGCTTTCTTCCCTGTGACTTGATCATTCAAATTCAAACCCTTCACATCCAGAGATAACTGATCTTCTTTCCCAACTCCTTCATTGTTAACATCTCGATATGGACTGACTTTGGTTGAATCTACAACAAAATCGATTACCAGTTATCATGTGACTTAACCAAAAACAGACACAGTTAACAAATCAATACCAAAGGCTGAATTTTGACCTTTGTCTCCTCCATGAGAAGACAAAACCTAAAAACCTAGCTCGATTCAAAACCCAACATCAATTATATGGTGAACAGTAAACATGCATCAAAATTCTCCGGGAAAAAATCATACAAATTCTCAATGAATTGGCTCACCTAAATGTAACATAAACAGAAAGACCTAAATATAAGAATCGGATCCAAACAGTTCAACAAATACACAAGAGAGCTAGTGGAGGAGAGATAAACAACGAAATTAGTCAAAATCACTCGATACCTGAACTGGGTTGAGCCTGATCGTCTCGCTTATCGCTCTTCACGACGCTCGTAGTGCCACCGACGATTTTTCTATTTATGACAGTATCTTTGTTAGTCTCCGATCGTTTGCTCGATTTCTTACTGCATCCGAAACAACCCATTGGAAATTGAAGGAGAAAAGAGTTATTCGCTTGTCCCCTTTAATCTTTTCTCTTCTTCCTTCCTCGTTGGAAAAATCAGAAACCCAGATAAAACCCCAACACGAATAATCAAAGAGAAGAGAGAAAAAAAAAAAAAAAAGTCGAAGAAGAAAGAAGAATTGCGAAAAATAAGAAGAGAGAGAGAGAAAGAGCTTAGTGACAAACAGAGAAAGCTTATTTCTTCGCCTTTTTTATATCGCGTAATCAAAAGTTCTTTAATTTTTTTTTGAGAGAGAAACGTACAATTATCGTCTACGACAAGGTTCACGGTACATTACATCCACGCGTCTAATTAAAACCGGCCACGTCTAGACAAATGTTTCTTCCTGCGGAGAACAGAAACGTACGGCTACTATTCAAGACAACGTATCAGAAGACGCCACGTAAGGCAAAGAGCACTTGAGCTTGGTCAACTTTTAATTTGTCATCGTCCGTCGGTCCGGAAACAAGCACCGCCGATCTGACGTGGCGTTACCGTTTGGTTAATGGAGCTATGGATTTGGGTGATTTTTTTTTTTTTTTTTTTTTTTTTTTTTGGATTTGGGTGATTTAACCTGATTAGGGAATAGGGATTATGTCACTTCTTGATTTCATACAGCGAATCAACAGTACAAACTCCTATCATAATTGGTTTACAGCAACAATCATAATGAAACTAGTATCAATATTTGTCAGGTTTGTAAGGGTGGTGTAGAAACAATATTACATGTCCTACGTGATTGCCCCGCGATGTCGAGTATTTGGGACCGCATTGTTCCAGCGAGTAAGAGGCGGGTTTTCTTTGATCAGTCCTTACTTGAATGGATTAATGGTAATATCAGTGATGTTACAATGAGGGATGGCACACCGTGGGCTATTCTCTTTGGTATGGCATCTTGGTGGGGGTGGAAGTGGAGGTGTGGGAATGTTTTTGGTGAAAATGGGAAGTGTCGGGATAGAGTTCGATTTGTGAGGGATCTAGCCAAAGAGGTTTATCAAGCGTGGTGCTTAAGTGATGGCGGGACAGAGCAAAGTACACGGGTTGATAGGATGATTGGTTGGTTTCCTCCGTCGGTTGGCTGGGTCAAACTGAACACGGATGGTGCCTCACGCGGTAATCCAGGTTTGGCAACAGCGGGTGGAGTTATCAGGGATGGAGAGGGCCAATGGATTCAGGGATTCACCTTGAATATTGGTTTCTGCTCGGCACCGTTAGCGGAGCTATGGGGAGTATATTATGGGCTTTACTTAGCTTGGGACAAGCGGATTGCAAGGTTGGAGTTGGAAGTGGATTCGGAGACGGTGGTAGGGTTCCTAACGACGGGGATAAGTGATACCCATCCTTTGTCCTTCCTAGTACGACTGTGCTATGGCTTTCTTCAAAAGGACTGGTTAGTCCGTATATCACATGTGTATAGGGAGGCTAATCATCTTGCTGATGGGTTAGCGAACTATGCATTTGATCGACCTTTGGGCTTGCAGCTGTTGGACTCATGCCCGGAGAGTGTTTCTTCTTTTTTGTTAGACGATGCTCGTGGGTCTTCCTGGCCGCGGAGTGTTCGATTGTAATTTCTTTTTTCTTATGTTTTTAATAAATTAGGGGAGGCATTGCCTCCCCCATTCCTACCAAAAAAAAAAAAATCATAATGAAACTAGTATTTAAATATATTATATAATTTTCTTGATTTTCAAAAATATTAGAAAATCTTATTCTATTTGTTTTACTTAGATTTTAGACCAAACTTAAAATTATCACTTACAGAAAATAATCACTTTTACTTGATTGTCATTTATCATGATATATAAAATTATACTACTATTTTTATCACCGAAATATTATTAACAGTCTTTTTTTTTTCTCTCAAAATGGCTTCTCTTTTATACAGTATCTATTTTCTCAATCATCATGAATATTCATGAGTTCCTGTATAGAATTCTATGTAGTTCAGTTAAGAGACTGATCTTCAAACCAATATATGACCGTTTATCCGAACTAATGTGGTCTGATACGGTATGTCATACCATTAGAGAGTTTTTGAACCAATGATCAGTCTTGTCACTAAATTAAAACATTGTGTTTTTTATATGCTTGTACAATTGAATACTTATGAAGAAGAGATCTCTATATATTCGTTAAAATGGCCAATCTTGTAGGATCATGGAGTAGGCGAAGTAATACAGTAGATTTTTTTTATGTTGACCAACCATCAGTAAAATTCTAAAGTATAATGTGTATATGTATATGATTTATGAATACGAATAAATTACATCTTTCTTCTAGTTGCAGCACCACAAAAACACAAGACCGTCATTTTCAGTCTTAAATATTTTAAACACGTTTTTTACTCGATGGTTTGTTTGGCTGGCAGGTATGGTAGATTAATTTAGATTTTGATAAATGAGATTATTTGATTGAAAATAGTCTGATGATTGTAACATTTTTGTAGCTGTCACCAATCACCTTACGGGTGACGACGGCCAATTACTCGCCGTTTTGGAAATTTTTTAAAAGAGGTGAGAAAAACAAAAAGAGGTTTTTATCAAAAACAAAAAGGACGTCACTCTGGGTCCTACGTTTTTACTCCACGCGCTTTGTTGTCGAATGTTTTTTTAAAAAGATTGATTAATAACATGCTTTTTTTTGTTTTATGGTTCCAAGTACAGTGATTAACTGCGACGCGTTTCAGCAGATAGCGACACGTGTACACAAAATCAATGTTGTTCGCAGAAGATTATTTAATCTCTGATGACAAAAAAGAAAAAGATTATTTAATCTCTCATTTACAGTTCTTTTACCTATAAGGTTTAGGGTACATTAACAACTCTTGTTAAAATATTTAAACTACGTTGACCTTTTAGGCCGTAAATGACTTTAATGAGACAGACCATCCTTTGCTGGCAAAATTAGTAAAAGCTATATGCTCTGTTGAAAAACAGTGTAACTTTAGACAGAAAAGATAACAAAAGATAATTTTTTGTTATTCGACTGTTTACGATTTTTGTTTTTACTCATAAAGAGTTTTTGGTGTTTATTTGTATTATTCTAGTAATCAAGAAATTTGTTTAACACTGATATTCCATTTTCAGTTTACTCCAAACCCATGATGGCCCAACGTCTGACGAGGCATTTAACCTCTTGGCCATTGCCAATTAGTTTGCTAAATTTAAAACTACAGATAAAATGAAGGTTCCTTTTAATACGATGAGTATAATTTAGTTGGTTTATATAAAATTGTAATGATATTGGTTTGTCAGTCTCCTAATTGTAATTTTATTAAAATGACTTGTCAACGAGATTTATAATTGAAATATTTCATACTATTATTTCGAGATTTATTTCAGTAATTTATAATAAACACAAAAGTGGACTTTCCTTTGTGTTGGGCAGCATACACAAATCTAGTCAATTCCTTTTATTAAAAATGGATTTTTATATATATCTCAAATTTTTAATCAACAATGGGTTGAAATGAGTTTAAATTAGAAAGGAACATAATCTATAAAAAATGTTTGGTTCAACAAAGGTATTGCTTATTAATTCCTTGGAACCAGCATCCATAAACCAAGACGTGTTTGGCTTTTGTAGCAATACGGTTTCATTTGGAGATGTTTTCACGTTTAATTATTAAAACTTAAAAGTATATATGCAATGATGATGTTGACTTGCTTGGTCCAATTCAATTTATCTAATACCAAATTATCAATAGTCTATGCGATATATACAACTATAAAATTACCATTCGACATTCTATTAGCATTATATACACTAGATTTGTGACCCCGCGCAATGCGCGGGATTTTACTTATAAACTATTAACAATATAAGCCCTGAATATAAATATATATATTGAATTTTAAAAGATAAATCTATAATGACATAAACCTATTTATGAAATGATATATAACATAGATTTTATTGAGAATAATGTTTCTCTTGAAAAAAACAACAAATTTTTAGGTAACACGTGGTAAAAAATTAGTTGAAAAAATTCAGAGAAATATAATACAATCTCGACCATGTCATGTTCATACATCTTTTTGAATTTAGTCAATTTCTCTTGAAATTATTTCGCTGTCATTTTATTCGTCATATTCTAATATGCAGTCGTCCACCTCGCGACATTTTATCTCTTTTCACGTTCATGAACTCTAAAGCTATGGTAACACACTGCCATTCATTAAAATTTCAACTCGACACAAATGGAGACAATACCATATTGTTTTAGAAATCATACAACCCCAAGATCCATCACATGGTAAGTAATACACAGTTGGACTATCGAATGATAGATCACCTTCGATATATAAATAGTTTTTCTCTCACAACCCAACTACAAGATTACATGAATATAGCAGCGGCTTGGGTTTTGAATTTAAATTAGTTTTGAGTTTGGGTAGAAATTGACGGGGGGTCTTAGTTTGGGTTGGAAAAACCCGCCCCCAAATAGTTGGTGTTGAAAATGGCTGTTTTCCCGCCACGTCAATGCCACGATATCGCTGACTCAGCAGCCGTTAAATCCCGAGCTAACACCGTCTTCTGTCGTGTTGAAATCGGCTAATTTTCATTAGTTTAGGTTTTGAATTTGAATTAGTTTTGAGTTTGGGTAGAAATTGACGGGAGGTCTTAGTTTGGGTTGGAAAAACCCGCCCCCAAATAGTTGGGGTTGAAAATGGCCGTTTATATTATATTAAACAATGTTATTGTTTATGAAAAAATATTTTCTTTTATTAAAAGATGATAATATAAAAGTATGTGAAATTTTTTTTAATGTTTCTTCGTTTAATAAATAAATTGAGTGGAAGTTTTATAAAGTCATATATATAATTTAAATTTTGATATCAATCAAAACGATTTAAATGGCAATTTGGTTTGAAATGCACCTATTAAATGTATTGGGTAAGGGGTTCGAATCTTTTTGGTAACATTTTATACCTATTAAAAATGTATGATGACGTGTACGCTGATGTGTCGCCTATGTGGACACTCTAGATGGAGAGAAAACTCTCTTATTATATATATAGATTGTGAATTAGAAAGTTTGCTTTGTTTCTTTGTCCAAAAAAAAAAAAAAAAAGTTTGCTTTGTTCAAAAAAAAAAAAAAAATGCTTTAGAACGATTTAGCTAATCGATTTGGGACTTTTAAGGAATTTGGTGAAATTAGATCGATTTAGGCAGAGTATGGTCGAATTAGCTTGGTCTTGTATAGGTTGGTCGGGATGAAATTATTTGCTATTGGCTTAGGGTTTGATTGGGCAAGCACTTTCTTCCCATTGCACAACCATCATCAAAACAAACACATGCACACATACGAGCTATGTAAACTATGCCCCCACAACTTAGAAAAATAAGCTTGCAAATGTCTTAAATTGTAGGGAGAGTGAGAATTTGGGAGATTACTTATTCTTGAAGTGTAAAGACTCTCTCCAGACAAGCTCCTTGATGTCTTGTTCATCCAAGGCTGTCTCCTCAAAGTCGAAGCTGAAAGGCGAAGGACACGTTGGTTCTTCGTTGATCTCATGGAGACTTGCCAAGTACGGCTGCTTCAGTGCTTCCTCCACTATCAAATTAAAACATCTTGTTAGTACTCCACATTTCGTTTATAGCAATATAGTATCCAAACATATATAAAACAACGTGATACCTGTGATGCGTTTGGAAGGATCGAAAACCAGCATCTTTTCAGCAAGATCTAAAGCCATTGGGGAAATGTCTGGAAACGTTTCTTTGAATGATTGTTTTTGAACATGTGGGAGTTGTTTTACGTACTTTCGCGCATTATCGCTTCTCAAGAAGTCGAGATCCGAGTCATCTGGTGACCCTAAGAGCTAAAAATAAACCAAAAAACAGAGAAATGCATTTTAACACTCACACACACCAAAATGATTAATTATAGTTGGATTAAGGTTTCAATTTGCTTACCTCAGTGATAAGTTTCAGCTGTTGAACGTAATCTTTACCGGGGAAAAGTGTCTCTCTTATGAGTATCTCCATGAATATACAACCAACAGACCAAATATCAATAGCTCCTGTGTATTCAGAGCTGTTGAGAAGCAATTCAGGTGCACGGTACCATCTCGTCACAACATACTCAGTCATTATCTCTGTCTCATTCGAAGTTCTTGCTAGCCCAAAATCACAGATTTTAAGGTCACAATTTGTATTCAGAACCAAGTTGCTTGGTTTCAGGTCGCGGTGAAGTACATTTGCAGAGTGTATGTACTTTAGGCCTCTCAAAATTTGGTAAAGGAAGTACTATAGACAAAAAAAATATCAAACATTGCTAAATGTTAGTAAAACATTATGTAAATGGACCAGATACAAAACGATTAAGATCTGATTATGAATGTGTGACCAGATAAAAAACGATAAAGATCTAATTATGAATGTGTCCACTGATCATCACCTGACAGTGGTCATCGGTTAGAGTTTGAGTGGATCTAATGATCTGGTGCAAATCAGTATCCATCAACTCATAAACAATATACACATCTTCGAACCTTTCTTTCTCTGGTGGCTCAATTATATCTTTCATTTTGATAACCTGTGTAGCAATGTGAACACTGATAATAAGTTAACTATGTGAGTGTACATCAAAAGAAATGGGAATAATAAAGAAGAGAGTACGTTGTCATGATCCATGTGGCAAAGGAGTTTGATCTCTCGGAGAGTTCTTTTAGCATCAACTCTGTTGTCAAACGCGTTTGCTATCTTCTTTATAGCAACCTCTTCGTTTGTCTCTGAGTTTGTAGCACAGCTGCAATCAAGAAAAAGGAATTGAGATTAAGATTGAATTCAAGAATGGTATCTTTTTGATTGAAAGTGATAAAGACTTACCAGACAATACCATAGGCACCTCGACCGACTGGTTGAATAGGAGGAATGTATTTTGAAGATAGCTCGAAAATGTTACCAAGTACATTGTACATAACATATCTACCATCATATGTCAAGATTCCACCATCTTCCATCTTCTCCATCTCTTCTTTGAAAGAACTCGGATCAAGACAAGTTTTAAGGTAGTAAAAAGAAAACAAGTTTTTAAAGACTGTTTCATTCTCTCAAGTAGCTCTTGTTGCCGTTAAAAAGACAAAACAGTGAGCAAGAGGAGAGAAAATGGTGGAACCTTTTGCTTTTGGTGGGCCAAATAAAGACAATCTTTTTTTATTTGATCCGTTGAACTTTGAAATTTGAATGAGAATTATTATCACAAGGTTAACCTTGACTTCTGCATCGTTAAAGAAAATTTCAAAAGAAATGAAAAGAGAAGTAGAGTATAGTATAGAAAAAGCTCTCCCCTTGTGGATCAATGGGTCCCTAGGAACCAATAGTAAAAACTAAAAAGCATAGTGAAAGCGAGATTATTCTTGTGCGCTAAGTAAACAGAGCCTGTGTGAAACTAAAACACCTCTGAACTCATTTTCACCATCTCAAAAACCAACATTACCGATCAGATTGTCCCATCTTTTAATTCCTTACACATTAAAGATCAAAAGAAGGTGATTAAACCATACAGTTCTCTTACAGAATTATGCAGCTGAAGCTAACAAATCAGGCTCAGGAACCACAAAAAATATCAATGAATAGTTCAAAATTACCTTCAGCATTTTACGAGTCAAAATACTAAGAAACAATGCAGTTTCTCCCCTTAGAAGGCTCTCACATAGCTTTTTTCAATCTCTGCAATTATGATCCAAACCTTAACCAAAAACAACTAGACTATTAAGACCATGCTCAACCTTCAAAATCAGTAGTAGTACAAGGATATCATGTTAAAGAAGAATAAAATTAGGCCACAAGACCGAATCTTGAATCTTTCGACAATCCAATCAAAAGCCCATGAAACAGAGGACATTCATAACCTAGTACAAAACTACAAACATAAATAAACCAATGTTTTTCTAATAACCGATTCAAAACTCCGAAACACCAGACGTAATTGCGGACATTTAACCAAACCGTGCGTTGCTAGGTCTAAACCGCATTGGTTTATGACTTGCACTAATAAATTCTCACCGTCACCCGCCAATCAAGGATGATGGGTGAGAAACCTAACAACACGCTGCTGTGACTTTATCATATCCTTAGTCCAATTGGGATCTTCTTGTGCGTAAGACGCGTTCACACATGCAGCGGCCGAAATAACGGAATTACCACTGCCCAACGTGTTCGCAATAACAGTCCTCTGATGCCTAATTTCGTCAATTCACACAAGAAAATTCAACATCGACCCCTTTTTTTTGATATTTTTCCCAAAGTAGTGGGCCCGCCACACGAAGCATGTTTCCTCCAATAGCATCTTGACAATTATTTCCTAATAACATTGAAGATTATTCTTTTCCCATCTACATACCACCAACCCTAAGATCCGAACGTCCATTTTAAAGCCGTGCGTTTAATCAAGACCGTTGCTTATATTGGCAAATTTTGACCACACGATATCCGTCATCTAACGGCATCTATAGATCTACTAGAACGTTCTCTTTCATGACTCTATATATTACGCATTTCTTCTCCACAACGCTCTCACAAAAAGTACTGGTGTCTTACTCGTGCCAGCCACTCGCATTTTTCCAGATTTTATTATCCTTTCTCGGAAAAAGGTATAACGGAAATACTCTCTCTCTCTGATCCGTCGTTTCTGCTTCCAATTTTATCTTCAATCGATCGGATCATTGTTATGCTTGGCTTGATCTGAGTTTAATGATGTGTTTATCGCAGTAGTTCCGCTATTTGTTGCTGCGATCGGCGTTAGTATCGTTAGCTCTCTCGTTTATGTTCTGTGGTTCGATATTGCTGGGCTTCTAGGCTAATTTTACGAATCTGTGGAATTTTTGGGAGATTTGGCGTCTTTTAGCTCACTCGTGTGTTGTATTTGATGTAGTTAGCTATATAATAGTGATTGATTTAGGGTTTTTTTTTTCATTCATATGATTATCAGCTTGTTATCCATAGGTTTTGTTGGATTTCGTGTGTTTTGGATTTGATCTGTGTTTATTTGCTAGTGAGGCTCATATATATATCTGTGTATTGGTTTTAGAGTTTAGCTAAGATGACGAAGAACTACCCAACCGTGAGCGAGGATTACAAGAAAGCTATTGAGAAGTGCAAGCGGAAGCTCAGAGGTTTGATCGCTGAGAAGAACTGTGCACCCATCATGGTCCGACTCGCGTAAGTAACTAACTATATCAGCGTGTGGTTGGTTTCTTCTAAAGTATTTAGGATGTGCAACACTTATCATGGTTGATTTGTTTGGCTAAACTGCAGGTGGCATTCTGCTGGAACTTTCGATTGTCAATCGAGGACTGGAGGTCCATTCGGAACAATGAGGTTTGATGCTGAGCAAGCTCATGGAGCCAACAGTGGTCTCCACATTGCTCTTAGGTTGTTGGACCCCATCAGGGAGCAATTCCCTACCATCTCTTTTGCTGATTTCCATCAGGTACATGATCTTAGATTTTAAAAAGAACTATTTGGTTAACTGTCATCACTTTAGAAAAGAAAACAACCGCATCGTTGATTACTCCTGTGTTTGGAATCTTACTCATGATGACCTTTTTCTGTGAAATTGATCATTCAGCTTGCTGGTGTTGTGGCCGTTGAAGTTACTGGTGGCCCTGAAATTCCTTTCCACCCTGGAAGAGAGGTTAGTCATTGCTGTAGATTTGTTTGCCGCCTCTAAGGTTACCATGTACTCAATTTGGTCGAGAGAATGTGTTTTGCTTTCTTTGTAGAGATGGCTGATTGATAATGTAGCTGTTCTCTCAATACTTGTAATACTGAAACACGAGATAGAATTTGAAGGAGGAAACACCGTGGGACTTGATTGTTCGTTTCTAACATGCATATCTTGCTTTCAGGACAAGCCCCAGCCACCTCCTGAGGGTCGTCTTCCTGATGCTACCAAGGGTTGTGATCACTTGAGAGACGTCTTTGCTAAGCAGATGGGCTTGTCTGACAAGGACATTGTCGCTTTATCTGGTGCCCACACTCTGGTTTGATTCTCTCCAACTGCTTAAACACTTAATTTTTTGCCCCAATCTTACAAATTTTGATGAATACTTGCAAAATATGAAACCGCAGGGAAGATGCCACAAGGATAGGTCTGGCTTCGAAGGTGCCTGGACTTCAAACCCTCTAATCTTCGACAACTCTTACTTCAAGTGAGTATCCCAAGTTCCCTTGTAGGAAGATTCAATGGCTGATATGGTTATTAATAAAATTATATATGATCAGGGAACTCTTGAGCGGAGAGAAGGAAGGCCTTCTTCAGCTTGTCTCTGACAAGGCGCTATTGGATGACCCTGTTTTCCGTCCTTTAGTCGAGAAATACGCTGCTGTATGCATCCTTTCTCTTTTCCCTGTTCTTCACTTGGTAGAGAGAGAGAGCTCATGATTTCTTGTGACATTGTGAACAGGATGAAGATGCCTTTTTCGCTGATTATGCCGAGGCCCACATGAAGCTTTCTGAGCTTGGGTACTTCTCTTGAATCTATTAATCATTCGAAAGTAAATATTAATGTAGTCGTGTGATTTGAATTTGTATCTGTTGATTGCAGGTTTGCTGATGCTTAAGCTGTGACGTATGTTGTGTGTGTGTGTGTGTCTCCGAGAGTCATGGCTGTTTTTGGTTGGGGGCTGGAGGGGTCGCATTGCATTTGAACTTTATCATATGATTGCTTAATGTACTCTCAGATTTGCGTATCTTGTTTTTCGGTGGGTTGTGATTTGACACATCCGTTGCGCTTTTGCTGGTTAGACATTTAATAAAATTAATTTATCTCAATATTTATGCCTCAAATCCATTCACATATGCTTAGCCTGTAGTGCTCTCCACCCAACAAAACAATGAGATACAAGTAATCTCATAGCTTTGTGTTCAAGATGTGCGACTCCATTTCTGTTAACTTCTTGATAAAAGGATTGAATGGGGGTTGTAGATAGAATAGCAGTAGCACTTGGATTAAGAGTTTGAAGATAAATTGGCTAATTGCCTATATAAAGGGACAAAGACAAACAGCCAAATCTTTAAACAGAAGTATTTGCCTATGTAGTAACTGAAGAGCTCCCACGAGATTTACACAAGATCAATGGTAAACTTACCAAATTTTAGTTCAGTACGCATAAACCAATCCAAAATTATTTTCCCATCACCACATGCAAGAGCATGAAATGATGTGGTGTCCGAATAGGCAGATTCAATTGATGTTGATCAGACGATGCTTGGTCGTGAGCTGAGGACAGATGGCTCTGGCTTATAATGTCACTATGATTACCAAAGTGTTTGGAGACTTGATCACGGCCAGGGGAATAAAGAGCTCGAAGTCGAGTGTTATTCAAATGATTGCTATTCAGTACTCCTTTTTTAGGTGAAGGATCTTGCCTCTGCGCTTCTCTAAACCGGCTTTTTATCTATTTGTATCTTGAAATGAACCGAATCTGCAATTAGGACCCTCTTGAATCTTGAGTGGTCTAGAAAAGATGAGATTGGAGCGAAGAGTGGAGTGACTTTTTGTGAAACACATTCACACCATTTAGTGGAAGCGGTTCTATTTATTTGTGTGGGATATTGGCTGTAACATTTAATGAGCTCCTCCTTCATTCCGTGTGGGTCTCTTTTCTTTTTATATAATATTTTCTTACTTTTGTCTTAAAAGAAATTCAAAGCAACTATAGCTTCAAAAGAATAAAAACACCATCATATCAAAAAAAAAAAAAAAAAAAAAAAAAAAAAAAACAAATTAGCTGTCTTAAGTTAGAGTGTAGGGAGAGTAGGCCAATAATCCGAACCGAATGCACCGAACCGAAACCGAAACAAAAAAAAAAATAAACCGAAATTTTGAAAATAACCGAATGGATAGTAAATTTAATAACCAAACTAACCATAACCGAATCGGTACCGAACCGAAATATTTCGGGCAACCGAAATATCCGAAATACAATTATATTTTCAAATAATAAGTTATTTATAGACCAAATAATCAAAAATTCTTGAAAAATATGTAAAAATAGTTAAAATACTCGAAAATAGCCGAAATATATCCAAAAATATCTAAAAATACTCAAAAATAACCGAAATATCCGAAAATATTCTAAGCAAAATAACCGAATGGATACTAAATTTTAAAACCGAAAGAACCGGACGAACCGAAACCGAACCGAAATTTTAAAATATCCGAATGGATACTAAATTTTGAAACCGAAAGAATCGAAACCGAATAGACCTAACCGATAACCGAACGGTTAACCGAAAGCCCAAGCCTAAAGGAGAGTGTGGGAGACAATAAAAAAGGTAATGCCGTAATGCTATAGATATAATTATAAAGACAGTAGAATAATTATTACTAATACTGTTAAAAAAAAAAATATTTACGATTAGTCCTAGACGTACCAATACATTTTTCTAAAAAATCAATTACTAATTTGTCATTTTTTTGAATAGCATTTGTGAATTTCGCTCTTTTTTGAATAGTTTGAGGATTTTGTCTCTTTTCAGACTATAAAAATGTGATTTAATATGCGTTTTACCCGTTATGTTTGAGTTTAGTCGGTTTTATTTGTTCTTAGGATTTAATATTAAGTATAAAATACATATTTTTGCCAAAAAAATCGTAAATACGTACATTTTAAGTGTTAAAAATAGCAAATCCGTAAGATTTTAATAAAAATAATATTTTCAAAAGATTTTGAAATCAACAATAATCCCTTTTTAAAAAGATGTGACGACTTTTAGAAGAATACATAGTTACTTAGATAAGTATTTTTATTTTTACTTATTTAACGTTTTTTCTTATTTCTATGATAACTTTGAAATTATTCAGAAATCAGAAATGTGAAGTTTTTATGTTTTTTTTTTTTTACATCGTTGGATAAATTCTGAATTTAGAACTGGGGTAATATCAGACATACTGCATATATATATGACTCGTTGAAATCAAAGTCAATGAGTCAAATATATCATTTATTCGGTACGCATTGAAACTTAGGTTACATCATCAGATTAAATGCACGATTAAATTTGAGCAGATGATTGTAATCAATAATCCCTTGGCGTACGTACATTTGGCAACCTCTAATGTATTTCCCCTTTCCAGAGGGAATCGCTTACAAATTCTTTAATCGATATGATTGATTCTCAAAGACCAAATGTATGAGCCCATTTTGATTTGTTGAATTTTAAAAAATAAAATTGTATTGACCGATGGTATTAACTTGTATTTTGAAAGAAAAAAAAAATTAACGCAAGAAATGTGTTGCATACCACAATTCACTTTTTTTTTTTTTAATTAGTGAATGCTTTTTTGCTTACTATATATATTTACGTTTTAGTGAATGGTATTATGGTAGCATAATTTTCAAATGCACACGTAACGACCCCAATTTTCTTGTCTCCATTCCAACATTAGTGGAATCTTATCACTTAACGATTTGATAGAATTTAACTGCACTAGAGTTGTTTTTTAAAAAGGCCCAAGAATATGATTGGAGGAAAAGTTATATTGATGATTTGATCTGAGGATAATCATGACGATACTGTTAGACTTACATTATTTATCGAGAGAAATCAGACTAACAAACAATCTCCCAGTGTACACGATGCAAACGACAAATCTTTAATTTGACCGATTAAATGAATAAGACTATATATATGATGATGATACTATATTTTTTTTTTTTGTCGTCTAGATTTATTATTAATTGTAAATTATGAGAACTGTTACATAGACAATTCTATAACTGACAATTCCTTCCGACCCTTACTAGATTCACGACAGACTACACTTCCTTCTTCGTAATCTTGATGAATACCTTCAATGATCCACGATCTGGCGACACTTCCTTCTCTGCGTAGAATCCTGGCGAACGGCTATAATTGTACATTGCTGGAGATCTCTTGCACACTTGCCTCCATTAATCTGCAAATTTGTTAATAAATCGCAATACCCGGGACTCGAACCCCATACTTTTTTGTGTAGAAGAATTAATCAACCCTTGGTCAACCAATGGGCTAAGGGGGCTTCCACTACTATATAATTATATATCTATACATTATATTTAACGTATAGTATTAGAAATATAATTCGGGAGATTTTTGTAAACATCACAACTTTTTCTAAGGAAAATAAAGAGAGCAATCTGTCGAAGGTGAAAGCAAGAGCTAGCACCCCCAATAACTCGTTTAGCAATCTAACTGGCTACGTGTCTTCCCTCTATTTGATTCCGAAATTTTCTTCTCAATGTTGGTACGTGAAGAAGACCCTCTATTTGAATAAATGATGCTTTTGGGACCGCTCGGAATTCTGTTTTCTGAAAGACGACTCTTAACGCAGTTCTGCATGCATATATATACGTGTAAAATGGTTAATTTAATTTGGAAAAAAATGTGTATGTATAAGTCGTTTAAATAGAAAAGTCTTATACAATAGATATAATAAATTGAGTCCCAAGAATAATGGTTAATAAAAACAAAATACGTTTCAGCAAAAATTAGGCAACCTAAAATAAATAACTTGGCCTTTTGTGTACTTAAGTAGAACTTACAAGTCAGCTCTGAATACAGATGATAATCATACTTCACTATGAGAGATCTAGAAGAGCATCAAGTACTCTACAATTGAATATCTAGTTATTCCAAAGACCTATCGAACCACCTACCGTAATACACAGTTCAATTGAGGTTTTTAACCATGGTTTCTCCCAAATTGTAGAATTAATCTCAAAAACAAGGCACATGCTACATACTGTACATTGTAAGAAAATTCTCAAAATTTTAATCTTTTGGTTCATATTCTTTTATTATCTAAATCAACGATTTTACAGGTGCAATTTATCCAATTCAATATAACTAACGATGAAAGTATGAAAGATACAAAGAGAAAAGAAGTTTTTTTTTTATTTTCCAGTGATTTTGGAATCTTTGAATCTTCATAATCAGTAAGACTAAGAGTAGAATACCAATGGACTATTAATGATTTTTTAGAGACTAATATAATAGAAATAATACGTAAGGAGAAAAATCAAGAAAAGAAGATTTTTTTTTTTGTTTAAGAAGAAATTTAATTGTGCCAAAGTCAAGCAAACCGTTGAAACATGAAAGCGTGGAGGAATTTAGTAGCCACCGTAACGTGGAAATATGTTTCAATTTTAACTAAAACAACTGACGTCAGAATTCGAGCTTTCGACGTCAGGGTGGTCACTTCCTTCCCTACATCAGTTTGTGTCTCTCCCCTATATATATATACACTTCTCTATTTTCCCCACCAAAAAGCACTTCACCTCTCAAAGACTCCTACTTGCCCATTTCCCATTTTCCCTCCCGATAATTCACAATTTTTAAGTTGGTATGGAGAGTAAAAGTGACGCTTCCGCCGCCACCACTCCAATCATCTCTTCTTCTTCTTCTCCTCCACCACCTTTTTCACCGAGGGTGGTACTCAGCCCATGCGCTGCTTGCAAAATCTTGCGGCGGCGTTGCGCAGAGAGATGCGTTTTGGCACCGTACTTCCCTCCAACGGATCCAGCCAAATTCACTATCGCCCACCGCGTTTTTGGAGCCAGCAACATCATTAAGTTCTTGCAGGTACCTAAACTATCTATCTATTGGTGTAATAATTATATATAAGCTCTTTTAATATTTGAAAGATCTAATAGAAGAAAGATCCGACTATATTAATGATATAGATGGGAATGATTTCTTTGTTCTTATTAGGAAGATAGTGACATGGTTGTTTCGGAAAGTGGGTTCATAGGTCATGTGAAAATTGGCCCCTTTACTTGTCATGTAATATAATGTCAATAACTTCTTCTCACGAAAGCTGCACCACATAACCAAAAAAAAAAAGTATTGCATATAGTGTCATTGTCAACATTTTCTTTTTCATTCACCTTTCAAAAAGTCTTGTAGAAAATTGGTTTTCACTCCTCTTGGTCAAATATGAAAATCCTTATCTTTATGAACGAACATATGGTTGATTATTTATCTATATTTTTAGGAACTTCCAGAATCACAAAGAACTGATGCGGTCAACAGCATGGTCTATGAAGCCGAAGCTCGAATTAGAGATCCAGTGTATGGATGTGCAGGTGCTATATACCATCTACAACGACAAGTGAGTGAGCTCCAAGCACAACTTGCAAAATCTCAAGTGGAAATTGTGAATATGCAATTTCAAAGATCAAATCTACTAGAGTTACTGTATAAAATGGACCAACAGAACCAAGAACAAGATAATATATTGTCCTTTGAGAGCAATGATTTGGGATTCCTTGAAGACAACTCCAACACCAACTCATCAATGTTGTGGTGGGATCCTCTTTGGACATGTTGATCATTGCTAAGATTTTGACTACTTCACTTTAAAGCCCTCTCTAGTACCCTCACTCAGGGTTAGTTAGCACACAAAAATGTAATATACGGTGAATTTTCAGATGATTCATATGTCCAAAACTATACTTTAACGCGTCATTGTAATGAATAAAAAGAAAAGTAAAGGAGGCTTTTTGAAATTGTTTTTTTTTGACCGGCTTTTTCAATGTTTTTTTTTTGGTGGGGTTTTTAGACACAAATCGCCAACTACACCGGATTAAACCGGTTCTAAACCACCGCAGAGTTTTAGAAAAAAATAATACTAAACGACGTCGTGTGACGACGACTGAACCTCTGCTCCAAATCTTCCCATCTCTTTGGGAACCTTCGGGTTCAATCTCTTTCTCTGCTGATTTTTCTCTCCGATTGTCCCTCTTCTCTCCTCCAAATATCTCCTTTCTTGAGATCATAGCGAGCTTATCACGACGGAGATCCGATTGGGTATATTGCTCGAAGACCTCGATGCTTTAGTTATCTCGGTTAATGTATGTTTGATGTTTCATCTACCATTCGATAATTCCAGTATAGCCAATTTCTGTGTGTTTGAGACAAGATTTGTGAATAAGATGGTTTTTTTTTTTTTTTTAAATTTTGGTCCCAAATTTTCCTTGTATTTATTTTCTTGCAATTCTGATCCAAATCGTTTGCTAATGCTTAGGAGGAGGAGGCTATGAGAGAGAGAACGATCGAAGGAGACCTCAGGGCCGCCGCGGAAATGATAAAATCGATGCACTTGGAAGACTCTTGTAAGTGCGAGCGATCATTACTGATTTGAGATGTATTGTACTGATTTAGCTTACTTTGGATGGATGTTCAGGACTCGAATCTTGAGAGACATATGGCTACTGAGCTGAGCTTGACTATGCGCGGTGGTGGTTTTATTAATGTTGAAGATTTACTTAAGATGCATTTGAAAACGTCCGCAAATATCCAATTGAAGTCACATACGGTTGATGAAATCAGAGAGGTCAGTTTCACTATGATTTTTTCAACGAGCGTTGCGTTTGAGATGAGTTTGTGATGGTTTGGTTTGGGACTGTTAAACATGAAGGCTGTGAGAAGGGACAATAAACAACGTTTTAGCCTCATAGATGAGAATAGAGAGCTCTTGACGCAAACCAAGGCCACTCGATCACGGTAAAAAGAACTTGAAACAATTCACAGCATTTTCTTCTTCATCTTTAATTTGTGTTGAAAAGTTGAGACCTTTCCATTTACTTGCAGCAAAATTTGCGCTTGCCATGTCTTTTTTCTGTTAAACACAGTAGCACTATGATTAGATTTTTATTTCCCTATTTTTGATCAATATGCTTTGTAGTTTAAGCTTTAGCTTTTTGTCTTTGTGTGCAGACGGTTGAGTCAGAGAAGTTACTTAAACCAATCCTGTCACCAGAAGAAGCTCCGGGTAACAAAGCAGTAGGACACATACTTGTGACTTCTGTTATGTCTTGCTTGGTTGTTCATATTCATTTGAATTTCTGTGATTGCAGTGTGTGTGCATGGAACTTATAAGAAGAATTTGGAATCCATCTTATCATCGGGCTTAAAGCGCATGAATAGACTGCATATTCACTTCTCTTGTGGCTTGCCAACAGATGGTGAAGTGGTTAGTGGTAAGATTTTGATCCTATTGTTGTTCCTGCAATATTGCATATGCACATTAATCTTGTTCCAAATTTACATGATTTGCTTAAGGCATGAGAAGGAACGTCAATTTTTTGATCTTCCTCAGACAACAAGAAAGCTCTTGAAGGTATGACTTTACTAAATTCACTTCAGTATGAGACCTTAATTCCGTGTCTTAAAGCTAGTGCTATGCCCTCCAAAGATTCAACATTTTAGTAGTACTTTTGATCCATCCAGATGGGATTGCATTCTACATTTCAGACAACAAAGTGATTTTGACTGAAGGCATTGATGGTGTAGTGCCTGTCGATTACTTCCAGAAGATCGAGTCTTGGCCTGATCGAAATCCTATACCTTTCTGATTCACAGAACTCAACATTAATGCGTGAATGCGAAGATTCACAGGTTCTATGACAATGATTGTGAAGATTCTTGTGAACCTTGATTATGTTATGTCTCAGTGTCTTCAACTGCAACATGACAATTTATCAACTTTCAAAGTTGTGTTATGAGCAGAAAGAAACCAATTGATAAAAAAAAGGGCCTTGAACGTTAGAAGAATTCAAAGCCCAGCTTTATGAAAGGAATAATATGGCCCAATAGATAAAATACTGATAAGTGGGCGGGTGGGCATGGGTTTATTTAAACGATGTCGTGTTCATGTTAGTAAATCGTGTGTTTCTTTTAATCTTCTGTAACTAAATTGTCGTGCTTCTTCGAATCTTCGTAAGAACCCTAAATCGTGTAACTCGTGCTCTATCTCATCCTCTCCGATAGCAGTGACTTTTCCGGAGATCAATAGATCATCTTCTCACCTTAGAAGACACTGAAATTCTAGAGACATAGACAGAGAAACTCGGGATTGATTCAATATACCGAGACCGAGTTCGTAATTCTCGAGTTTCAGAGATAGAGACTCGGTCGAAGAGCCCTTGCTTGACTGGATACTGAGTCAGTAATCTTTGACCTACAAGGTATGTTTCTGAGACATCCAATTAAGTGAGAAACGATTTCAATTAAAATCACATGTTCTGAATCTTCTTATTAAGAGTAATATTGTCTACACTGATTGAAGGTTTTCAAATTAACAGATGATCAATGGCTCCACAATTTAAATCGGCTTTTGATAGTATTTTTTTTTGTGTGGAATTGATGGTTTTGATTAGGCCTGGGCGTTCGGTTTAGTCAGGTAATTCGGTTCGGTTTCTCAGTTTTTCGGTTATTTCAAAATCCTGCCGAATTGAACCGAACAAAAATTCGATTCGGTATTCGGTTTATTCGGTTCGGTTATAGGTTTTTAAATCTCTTCCGAATTGTCCCGAAATTTAATTTACTTCGGTTTATTCGGTTTTCTTTCGGTTAACCGAAAATAAAAACAAGCCCACATAAAAATTTATGTGGGCCAATTAACATATTTACAACTAAAATAACAAGCTCAGGAAAATTATAAGTCCAATGTCACATTTACAACAAACCCAAATACATTAAAAATTAAGTTTTTCGATCAAATGCAAGGCTGCCGACGGTGAAGACGACATGGTTTGAAATGGCAAGGCTCCTTCAATCTTCACAGATTCACAACCATTCAATAATCATCATAAACCATCAATATAAACATAAATTTATCAATCATCATCATAAACCAACAATAGTATAAGGAAGAGGAACCTTTAAAGACTTGAGGAGGTTCTCGACGTTGAAGGATCTGGTTCTCGACGTTCCAAGAAGGATGATTAGAAATTCAAATCCTCATTGATGCAAAGCAGTGTCTTGTTCTAGGAGAGAAAGAAGAGTAATCGACTACAAGTGGAGGAGAGAGAGGCTTAGATCTAGAAGCGGCTGCAAGAAGACAAGGCTTATTAGATTTAGGTTTTCTTCGATAAAAATTGGACTCGGTTTATGTATTTAATAAGTTATTGGACTATTTTATTAATTTTAAATGTAAGTTTGTTTTGATGGGTTTTTTAAAAATAGTTATAATAATATGGGCTGGGCTTTTGATTGTTGTTTGTTTATAATTTTAAGTTGAAAGCCCAGCCATATTAAATATTAGGGTTTTTGTTTATCGTCTTCATCGTTTGTTTCACGCGGCGGCATGATGAAGAACAGAACAGAGTAACAGACCGGTGAAGGAGAAGCAGAACGGTGAAAAAAGAGTGAAGAAGGAAAAAACCGAATAACCGATCGGTTTTAGCTTGCCGAACCGAAACGGAAACCGAATTTTCAAAATAATTTCGCTGATCGGTTTTGCTCTTCTCTAATCCTCGGTGCCGAGAACCGAGACATTCGGTTTCCTCGGTTCAGTTTTTTCGGGTTTGACCGAATGCCCTTTTGCATTTAAAATTATTTATTCCTAAATTTGGTCGAGAATAGCCAAGTTTGCCAATGGGTTTTTGTGTGGGCTGAGTTTTTGGTGGACAAGTTTCTGATGGTCTGGAATTGGGCTGGGTAAAATAGCCCAGATTAACAGCCCTAGCCCCTAGATATAGGCCTCCTAAGCCCCTGGGTGTTTTCGTAAATTTTGTTGTAGATTTTTTGTTTGTTACAGTGGTCTTTCTCGCACCATAACACTTCCACTAACTCCGTCGTCGTCCCGCCGGTTTCACAGCTTGTTGGTGACTCAGCAAGCACGTCGAACTAACTTGGTCGCCGCCATCTCTCGTTGTTATTACGTGGTTCACACCTTTTTTAAGCCACGTGTTGATGTCGTTAATTCCACACACAACTCTCTTCGCTTTAAACATTCATCTTTCTCTCCGATCATCTTCTCCTTACCTTACCTTAGCTCGCTCTCTCTGTTTTAACTCCTCTATCAGATTTTTATCCTCAGATATGCCTAAGAAGCAGGTTTGCAACTTTCTTTTGAGTTTTCCTCAATCTGGGTATATACATCGGGATTTAGCGATTGTCAAATTTTAAATCCTCTCTTATATGATATGACTCTCTCCAAGATGTGCACTTTCTGGGTTTTGATTGCTTCGTTCACAATGTATTAGTTTGTCGTGCAGTGATATGACTATGGAGTTTTGATTATCTGGAAACGAGTTTGAATTTTTTTCTTTAAACATTGAAACTTTATGCATTAAGTATTGGTTTGTGAGAGTTTCTTGTTGCTTTTGGGTATATACAGGACTTGACTATTTTTGTTTCTGTTGGCAGAAAAAGAAAGCTCACGTTGAGCACAAGTGGCAAGTAAAGCCAAAGATGGATGCTCCATCTGAAGCCGCTGATCGTTCCGTATCCGTTGTTGCAGAAGCTGTAAACAACCAATTTGGTGGGTTAATTCTTGAGGAAAGCAACACTAATGTTCCAGTCTTACCGAGTCAAACTACAACTAACCATAGTGTTCAAAATCTGGTATGGAAACCTAAGTCATATGGAACTGCTAGTGGTAAAACATCGTCTGTCTCACAGGCAGGTTCTTCTGGAGATGCAAAAGTTGGTCTCAATCTGAGCAAAATTTTCGGAGGTGATTTGTTGGAAAAGTTTTCGGTCGACAAATCAACTTATTGTCATGCTCAAATCAGAGCCACTTTCTATCCAAAATTTGAGAACGAAAAGACTGACCAAGAGGTATACTATATAGTGCCCTTTCTGTGACTACTTGTCGTTTGTAGCACTTATTGCTAGTTTGCTTTATTTCATGTTGCGCTTATCTTGGTTTTGGTAGATAAGAACAAGAATGATTGAGATGGTATCTAAAGGATTGGCAACGCTAGAGGTATCATTAACGTCTATACACTCTATTTGTGTATACTTTTTTATTGGCACTCTGAAGTTTTAACCGTCTACTGACCTGTTGTAATGCACCTTTTATAGGTATCTCTTAAGCATTCAGGCTCTCTCTTTATGTACGCCGGTCACAAGGGGGGAGCATATGCAAAGAACAGTTTTGGTAATATGTAAGCTCATTTATTCTTAGCTTCAGTTACAATTTCCTTGATTATTGATGAGCTCTTCACAAAAAATCTTTAGAAAAAACCCCAATGAATAAACCCAAACTCCCTTTTCATTCATTTTAACTTAGAACATAGATTACTTCTACATTTTAGTTTCATAGTTTGTCATGCCCAACGATATATCTTATGCTTTCTCCTTCTGGAGTTTTGTTGCTTGCCGATGGTATTGATGTTACGTTTATGGATAAGATTCCACACCATATATAAGGTGTAATACATATATATTTCAGGAAACATTTTGACCAATCAGTTTTCTCATATGCTAACCAAATATTTCATTTGCAGTTATACTGCGGTTGGTGTTTTTGTTCTTTCACGGATGTTCAGGGAGGCTTGGGGAACTAAGTCTCTAGAGAAAGAAGTAGAGTTCAATGATTTTCTTGAGGTATTTCCATGGACAGAACTTTAAACAACCCAAATTCTCAATTGCTCGAGGCTTGATCAATTGCCAGAAAAAGCTAGCTCACAATCAATTGCCAGAAAAAGCTAGCTCACAATAAGTCATTTTCTCCCAGAAAAATCGCATGTGCATATCTATGGAACTGGTAACAGCTGTTCTTGGAGATCATGGTCAACGCCCACTGGATGATTATGGTGAGGTTTTTTGTTTATATGATGTTCCTTAATATTGAAAGTCAGATAAGTCTGCTAAAGCTGTTCAGTAAAAAAAAATATTGATTCGCATCTTGCAGTGGTAGTGACGGCCGTTACCGAGTTAGGTAATGGTAAGCCCAAGTTCTATTCAACTTCCGAAATAATTGCATTTTGCCGGAAATGGCGTCTACCAACAAATCATGTTTGGCTGTTTTCCACAAGGTAACTTAACCGCTTTCTATTCATTGCTACTATCATCTTCGGTGATCTTGCCCTTAATTGTTATTTTACCTAAGGCCTTGTTGATTTAAATAGAGAACGAAGAAAGAGTTTGAAATACTTTTAGCTAATATTTCGTTTTAAGAATTTAGTGCTTCTCTTGTAAAGCTTGAAAGATACATTTCCCTAACTATAGTAAGAATGTGCTGATAGAATCTGGTTGATGCATATACTGGTCTAAATCCATGAAGTCTCAACCTTTGAGGTTTTTTGGTCCTACTAGGAGGAAATATATGCTGATATGTTTGGATGCACACACTGTCCATAGAATTTTTATTAGACAGCTTGTCGTGAGGAAAATGAAAATTTTAACAATGGTGGTTGCATGTATTTTGTGAAAAATTTATGAAGGAAATCAGTGACCTCTTTTTTCGCCGCGTTTGATGCACTCTGTGAAGAAGGGATAGCAACCTCGGTCTGTAGGGCTCTTGATGAAGTAGCTGATATATCAGTCCCAGGTAATGTTTTTCTTTAATTTTGTATTCACTTTTGCTTTGTGTAGAATTCACATTAGTTATTCAAGGAACTGAACTTGATTAAATTCATCCGACGAATTATTTCTTGGATGAAAATAAGCAGCCTCAAAGGACCATGTTAAGGTGCAGGGTGAGATATTAGAGGGTCTTGTTGCGCGTATAGTGAGCAGTCAGAGTGCAAGAGATATGGAAAATGTCTTGAGAGATCATCCTCCACCACCCTGGGATGGAGGTGCACTATCTTATCATATTTTAATTTTTACTTTAGTTTTCATGATAATCCACTCTATCAAGTCCGTGTAGATTTTTTAAATCATTTCCCTGGCTTTTAATATTTCAGCTAATCTTGATCTGGGACTCAGTCTAAGAGAGATATGTGCTTCCCATAGATCTAACGAGAAACAGGTTCTAAAAGAAATTTAATATGACAAGCTTTATCAAGTGGAATCTTTAAGCTGCCATCTCTTGATAAAGATTTCTCATTATAGAGGGTCTTTTTTCCTTGTTTGTGGTGCTGTAGCAAATGAGAGCACTTTTAAGGAGTGTTGGGCCAAGCTTTTGCCCTAGTGAAGTGGATTGGTTCGGAGATGATCTCATCCGAAAAATGCTGACAAATCTGTTATAACAAAATTCCTGCAATCTCAGCCTGCAGATTATTCAACTAGTAAATTACAGGTAACTTGAGATCTGTGTCTTTGTTTATTTCGAATCGCTGAAGTTATAGGTTATATGTATATCTTTCACTTGCAGTGTCCTTTCATGTGGTAATATTTACCAGTTTCCATTATTTATGTGTTTTTGATGAGCAACTGATTTTTTTTTTAATAGGAAATGGTACGCTTGATGAAGGAAAAACGTCTTCCAGCCGCGTTCAAGTGTTACCATAATTTTCATAGAGCTGACGACATATCACCTGATAACCTATTTTATAAATTGGTTGTCCATGTGCACAGTGATTCAGGATTTAGGCGTTACCAAAAAGAGATGAGGTTATCTTTAAAGACGTCTCTAGTTACTTATGTCTTTCAGTTTGATCAAACTAAGAAGATTTCTATTTACTGAACCATATTATTTACCGTGTTTCAGGCACATGCCTAGTTTGTGGCCTTTATATCGAGGTAAATATTTTTGTTTGTTTCTTATTTTTTTTAGCTTTGGTCTAAAATTCCATGACTAGGCACCATTTCTGATTCATTTGCTAGAGTTCAATAGTTTTGTCTCCACTTTCCACAGCTCATAGTCTTTGTAAAATAACTTTGTTATGAAATCAAATTTTCTTGGACGTTTCAAGTTTGGTTGTTGTGGTAGCATACTATGGATCATTGGCATCTGTTTTTCCGTTTAACTATATTAGTTAGTGATCTTCTTTTTTCTTTTTAGGTTTCTTTGTTGATATTAATTTGTTCAAGTCAAACAAAGTGAGGGATCTGATGGCTCTGAAAAGCATTGATAATGCGGTCAAAGATGCCAGTGAAAATGATGGTCAACGAGAAAAGGATGGTTTGGCTGATGGTGATGCTAACTTAATGATCAAATTAAAGTTTCTCACCTACAAGGTAATTTTTCTCAGGAAGGTCTTCAGGCTAAAGGGATTTGTAATTTGTTGCAATTTCCTACCTCTTTCGTTGCATTATTATCCTGATGTTGGACATGTCTTCATTTTTTTTACAGTTGAGAACCTTTTTGATCCGTAATGGCCTATCAATTCTATTTAAAGAAGGGCCAGCAGCTTACAAAACCTACTATCTTAGGTGAGCTGCTTTCTCCCTATGAATATATACATATAGAGTGATGTATCAAATGTTATAGTGATGTTTTTGGTAATCCGGATTTTGATTAACTTGCATTGCATTGTAAAACAAAACGGGGAGACTAGTTGCTGCATGCTCATTAACTTGATCAAGCTTTAATTTGATTTATTTTTGTAACATTATTATTGTTTCTGCATCCAGACAAATGAAAATCTGGGGTACGTCAGATGGAAAGCAGAAAGAACTTTGCAAAATGCTTGATGAATGGTACCAGAATCACACTACTCTACTCATGTAGATTAAGCTTATATATTTATGTTGAAACTTATTTCCTGAGCAAATGTGTAACCTACTGCCTTAGATAATTTTTCAGCTTTTTGAATCTGGATTAGCATCTCTTCTTCTCTTCACAATGTACAGGGCT